AAATTAAAACCGGATCCTTAGCTAAAGAAGGGAGATAAGGTATACTTACTTATAAAAAACTTACGATCTTAACGGACGATAAGGAAACTAGATTATGTTAAAGTCGGACCATTTTTGATTTTAGAAGTTAGAGGACTAGTTAACTATAAACTCTAACTCCCTAACGATACGAAAATATACCCGGTGTTCTATATATCGTTATTAGAACTAGCCGACCTAGAAACTCCGTTATAGATAACATTCTATTTCTAGACTAAAGAAGAAGACGAATTCGAAGTCGAAAGGATACTAGAATAATAAGGTTAGCGATACCTTATAAAATGGAAAGGTTACTTACCTTCGGAAAACATATAGGAACTAAGAAATAACCTTAGGAACTGCTAGAAGCTTCTATAGCGGTTCTAGCAGAATCGACATTCTAGAAATCGAAAGACAAGTTAAAACCACTATTAATAGCATTCTAAGTCTCTAGACCTAGCGTTAAGCTAGGAGTATTAGTAGAGAACTTAAGTAATGCCGCGTTAACCTCTTCTTATTCGATGCTAGCGTACTTAGTAGCTACTACTTCCTTCTCTTTCTTATCTAGAAGGTCTAGCTATTAACGAAGGCGTATCTTACGAGCAAACGCTATTTATTATCGCTCGCGTACTATATCCGCTTCTTTCTAAGCCTATTCTTACGTATAGTACGCATCCTTAATAGCGTCGCGTAAAGGCTTACGCTCTTATTTTAGGCGATCCTATTTAGATTGCGACATACGGATATCGTACCTCTAATTACGATAAAGACATTTACTACATTTCCTAGACCTAACGTAGACCCGATAAACGCGGCCGTATTTCGAACATATGGCGTAGGGTTTTACTATAATAGTTCCTTTAGATTCGATATATTTAGCGAGTCTTTTACGACGTTTAGTACTAGTGTCTTTAGGCATAGTGGAAAAGGTCAATTACTTACTAAGGTAGAAAGCCGGAGGTAGCAGCTAATTATATACGTTAGCGTCGGGACGACGCTAGTATAGAAGGGGATAGTATTACGATCCTACTAATAATAGGGTCGTATAGCCTACTCTATTATTCTCTACACCTTAGTATAATAGAGCACCTTATATAAAAACGCTATATGCTCTGCTCTACTCTACTACTCTACTCTATAGAGCACTATAGAGCATACGGAGTAACGTACATACACTTATTATCTATTAGGTATATAGGTAGGCAGGTCTTTACTAGGAAGTCCTACGTTTAACTTAATTAGTTATTCTAACAGTCCCTTTAGTATATACTACTACCTATACCTACTTTACTACGCTTAACACTCCGCTTTACGAGTCTAACCCTATAACTAGTTATTCTCCCTAGAATAGTTAGCTATAACACTAAGTAGGATCCGTTACTAGATGTACGGCTATAATGGGCGTACGTTTACCTGTCTAAAGAATTATAGGCGACATTATAAGTAGAGGGATAGCGGATTTGCTAAAATAGTGTATCCTCTATATAGATAGCAATTCTTACGAAAAATAGCGTAAAGGGTCTATCTTTAGAGAGCGCGATATAAGGTCTTTAAGTTAGATATAAATAGAGTAATTTTTAAGTAGTCGCTATACTTAGAGTTTCTAGAGAAGGAGAACGGTAATTATAATAGGAATTACCCTTTCCCTCTTTCCTTAACTAACTATTAAAGGGTTATTACTCGAATAGTATTAGTTAATATAAGGAAGTGTATGCTATAAGCTTAACGATAAATGTATACTTAAATAAGTCGATACGGTAATAGTAATAACATGTTATAGATATTAAGGCATCTTAAGAAAGACTAATAGAGCTATAGTCTAGATAAAAAGTGCCGCTAGTTAGCTACGATACGCTAAAATAGTCCTAGTTTTTAAGGATAGTAGATCGGCATACTAGAGCAAGCTAGAAAACATACCTACCCTTAACCGTGCTAGATAACTAGAGCTTAAGCTATATTAAGTAATCGGAAAAGATAATATATACTTAATTAACATTCTAAATAACATAATACGGGTATAGCATACTTTCCTAATTATCGGGGGCTAATTCTACTAGTAGCTCTATATCTCTTATCTCTTATTATTTCGTACTTCTAGCTTAACACTAATTACTTTACTTAATTTCGAAATTTACGATTTATAGTGCGTGTAACTACTAGTATTAGAGTAATAAGCTCTAGAACTTAATTATGCTATAGTCTTAACTTTAGATCGATAGCTATACCTACTCTTATTTCTTTTTGCCTAGGCCTTAGTAGAATAGGGGGACTAGCACTTTACACTATATATTACATCTAATTTTCGAATATTCGTAAGAGCTATCTTTACTCCTTAATACGGCTTAATATAAATAATCGCGTGCTTAGGACTAGGAAGTAATATACTAAGTTATAGACTAGAGCCTATCTAGAACGCCGGTAGTAAGCTTACTACCCGGTCTTAATAGGAATAACTTTCTATAATGCGATAAGGAAGGCGGTACGCTCTAGAGACTTACTATTAAAACATGAAATGCGGAGCTAGGAAATAAAAGCATATATAATCCTTCTATACCGATCTATCTCTAGATCCGACTATCTTAGGTGCTAGTCTTTTAAACGGTAGTATAGACGACGATTATATCTACTACTATAATACTTAATTAATTATCCTTACTAATGTAGTAGATACGTGCTCTAATAACGATTAAGTTAGTAAACCTAGAATGGAAGCAATTACTATAGATCGTATAAGCTTAGTATTACCTAATAGTAAGAGCCCTTATAAAACTAACACGACGAAGTAAAGTAGATCCTTACTGCTATTATACTTATTTAACGTAAGGTCGTAAAGACGGCTAAGCTCCCTACTATATAAGTAATATAATGATCTAGTTAAGCCTATTCGTTGTAGCTAGAGATAGCGGAGTGTTACCTAATTTATCGACTGCTATAGGATCTAAACTATAGTATAAAAGAATCTCTAACACATCCTACCTACTATATATAACGGTTAGATAAGCTATAGCACGTCCTTATACATCCTTAGTATCTATGTCTACTCCTAGCTATAGAAGAAGCTCTACACACTCTATATAACCATTTATAGATGCTATTAAAAGGGGGCGATAAACTTTCGTTAGAATTATAGACGTTTAAAGGTTAATTAGATCTAGAGCGTTCGTTATATAACTACCCTAGGGTTTTAGACCTAATAAAGCTATATATTAATAACTAGGCTTATACTATGCGATAGTTAGAACTAGAAAATCGGTAAGCTATATAGCGAAACTTATATAAGCTATAATAGAACCTTAAGGTAGAAAACCATTATTATCTAGACTCTTAAAATAATCTAGATTATTATAAGTTTCCTTAACTTTAGTAATATAACGTCTACTATACCACTTTAAGGTTTATTAGGCGTCTTACTAATTAAGGACGTTACATATAGTATATATGTATTAAAGTAGCTTATAGGACTTACTAATTACGATCCACTAAAGGATTATAATGCCGGACTACCATTACGTAACCTCTACCTAATAATAGAGCTTACTATTAAATCTTAGTAGCTATATCTATTTATAGGAAAAGTTTCTAGCTATTCCTTATTTAAGTTTAGTAGTGTTATCTTATTAAGTATTTCTAAGCTTATAATGTTAATCGCGTTTAATTATGTTTCGCCTTAGGGCCGCTAACTAATCCTTAAGTTACGTTCTATTTTAAAGGTTAGTTAGCTTTTAGATTAGGTAGAAGCGTAATGCTCTAAAGTAATCTTCTCTTAGCGAGTTAATACTAGGACCTGTAGTGTTCTCTATAATTATAGTAAAATCCTATGCTTACTACGCACTAAGCTATAAGTGTAGGGATCTTCTATTAGATAAGAATAGTAGGATAATCGACTTGTTTTAGAGACCGCGACTACCTACTAAGCTATTATCGTAATAGTCTATTTTTATATTATTGTTATCTATCCTATTATCGGCCCTCTAGGTAATCCTATACTAGGCGTTCTTTTCTAACCCCGATCTATACATTTTATAAAAGGTTAACTTTATTATACGGACGAGGATAAGGGTATTAGGACGTAGCCTAGGCCACTAGAGGTAGCGTATAAATCTCTCCGACCTATAGCTTCTAGGCTAACGATAATAAAATGACCCGCTACTTATAGTGCGCCTAATAAGGGGGCTTTATAGTAGGGCTTTATAAAGGACTAATTTTTATTACATATAGTAGGTATAATCGAAAACACTAACTTAACTACCCGGAGTTATAGGATCGCTATCACGTCCGTTACTAGTATATAGCTTCTATAAATCCTTTTCCTAATACGCGATATAAGACTTTATAAACTAGGCTAGTAGCTAAGGTCTAATGCTACTTAACGATTTATAGCATATAGACTATTTATTAATTCTTTACGACTTGTAAGTTAGAACATCACTATAGATGTTTACCTATAGCATGTTTTTATAGGCGTTTAACGATTAAGAGTAAAGGTTCCTACCTAAAATAGATGAACTAACTAGGTAAGAAAGAGAAAGACATTATTTAAAATACCTTAGTCTTATCTTATCTTAGTATACTAATAAAAGCTTAAAGGTTAATGTCGTTACTCCCTACTAGAATTTAAGTACTCCTTTATTCGGTTCCTTTATTCGACTCCTTCGTTTAACTCCTTCGTTCGACTCCTTTATTTAACTCCTTCGTTTAACTCCTTCGTTTAGCTCCTCTATTTAGCTCCCTTATTTAGCTCCCTTATTTGGCTCCCTCGTTCGGCTCCCTTATACGACTCCTTTATTTATCTCCTCTACCTAAATACTTGCTTATATGTATAGAAGTTTGCAAGATGCTAAGCAACCTACTAGCTATATAAGACGGATATTTGCGTTTAAGATTACGTAGAACCTAGCACGTTTCAGTCTCTAGTCTACTCTACCTAAGTCCCAATTCTGTACACCTCGTCTCTACCATCTCTTCTTTCCTGCGCTTCTAACATGAAGTCTGTTATATCATCCGATATGCTGATATTCATGCTTGGCGTAAGAGGCATGTCAACTCTAGTTGACGACAGCTTAGTCAGTGGTGATTATGTTTGTTAGCATGCGTAGTAGCTGACTGTTTACAGGCCAAGACCACCAAAACCTATGATTGCGTCCACGCACCGCCATCTGCGAAACTCGCAACAACCAGAGCAGTGTACACTTTCCCAAGCACGACAATAATCTCGACCAGAACCTTCCATACACCCTAGAGCCCTGTCCAAGACTCCACCACCGCGACGCCCTCACATCGACCGATTCTTCTGCACAAGCTCACTTGTTTACAAGGAGGAAGAGTTGGAGGAACGCGCAAGGAGGCGAATTTGGAGTCCGGTGCGGATAAGAAAGAAAGAGATGGGAAACAAGCGATGCTCGAGAGCAGGCCCAAAGGGTGACAGACCACTTGAGAAAGTTTCAAGATCTCTACGCCTGGCTGGAGCCCTACATGTTGAGTTCTACCAGCCTCACTGACCGGGCCCAGATTCGGCAAGAGATAGGGCTTTCGCTGGTACGTCAGACTCTCTGCGGTCACCATACTCCTCTCATCTCACTGACACTATCGAGTCCCAGTCCACAGACGCAAGGTCCTCGCTAGGCTACCTTAGCCACAAGCCCTGACACGTCCACGCCTCCTTCGATGAGTTTGGGTACAGTCCGAGACGGTAATCAAAAATTTCTGTCCAGGCCGCACATACCTCTCCATTGTTCAGTCAGTATCACCCCGAGGTCAGCGATAGCCTTTCCGCGAATCCGCGCTCCAGGGCTAAGACCAGAGACAGCCGTTCAACAGGTTCCTGCACCAAGTGTCTCAGTAAGATCTTGCAGCAGGTCCTGGACCACTCAGACAGCCCGAGCTCTTGAATCGCCAAACCGGGCAGAGAATGGAGAAGAAGATCAAGGTGGAAAGCACCAGCTGGTTGTTCAAGAGGCGCGTGAATGAGTACATAAGTGTGGACGATTGAAGTCAGGATGGCGACGTGGCCGCTTTCTGAGGTTTGACTACTGCTCTTGCGAAGTGGGACCTGTGGTTGGAGAAGACCTTTGTCAATCTACTGCTCATTAGACATCTATTGATCGTTCAATACCACTTCTTCATCGAGTCTCCCGCTCTATCACTTGGCTGTCCATGCCTTGTGACCCCGCCTCGACTATATTATGCATATTATAGCGTTCTGAACTGTCTTCCATTCTTTCCATTTACACATAACGGTCTCAGAGCTCCGAGCTAAGGTCTTGTAAGCATCCTTCACCTTCGTATTGGTCAACGGCCGACCAGCGGAACCTTAGAAAGGTACATCTGTCGATTGGTACACGAATCGAGCATTCAACCATGCTCATGACCATGCACAAAAGAAAGAAGGCCGCCGTGCCAGATTAGAGGTCAGCAAGATGGTCGAACCAACTGTGCAGAGATTCAAGGCGTGACTGTCAGTGGATATCACCGTGATCATATGCAGCTGCTTGCTGTCAGAAGTGACATTCATTCGGTCGCAATGGAATGAAGCGTTGGGCACGAAGGCAGACGCAGGGACGCCAGAATGAAAGGAAAATCTGCAGTGTTCGTCATGCCCCATTTTGACCGTTAATCGCAAAGGATCAACAGCTGTCTACAGAGACTGATTTTCTCAAAAGTCCAAGTTTTTGCTTAGTCATTTCTAGCATGAAGGTGTTGAGAAGAAACGATGAGCTGGCGACGACGGACGATCGAAGGTGGACACTATCGCTCATGAAGAGGTATCCGATTGATAGCGGCGCCCCCTAAGCGTACGACCTCCCATACACGACCTTTGGACCACGTTCATCTGCGCCTTGCTCTAACTGCTCTCCTGCGTCCATGATTGCCCTGTGCAACAACCATCGGCGCCCCTCCCCTTGCTCACGCTCCTCTCGCGTATCAGCCATCACTGTCGCCTCGAGTCTTTGGTCCCTAGCTGGGGCCGGGGACTCCGAAGATAAAATCCATCTCTCGCGCCATGGAGCTCTTCATCTGGACCAATATCGATCCATCGAACCGTCCACCTCTCGGACATCGGAACGCCGTCTCAGAAGTCCTCGCGACACAAGCAATCTGGTCCCAATAACTCGATTTCGAGGATTTCAGAGACCTCTATCTCAATGGACATCAGCGCTACAGTCGCGTCCGTCAGCACTTTGCTCGTTGCAATAACAAGAGTTTGACGACCGTCGCGAAGCACAAAAAGCACAACAATACTGTCCTCTGACGACCCTCCTACACCGTCTCCATCTGCCCACCTTCTGAATACGCTAATCGTCATCACACGTTCTTGACATCAGTCTTCTTGTGTCTAAAAAGCCTTTCCTCGACATGAATATTCAGCTGTTCAATGTGGTGCCCGGATGGAAGCACGACTTCGGCCCTAGCGAGCAAAGATACAAGAGCCAGTATAATCACTTCCAAATAATTGGTCTACCACTCCACCACCCATGGCTTATGTTGACAATGTCTAGCCTACCATCGTTGGAGACTTCTGTCTTGTTGAACATCGTAGGGACTCCAGGCTGACGTTTCTGCTCTTATCCAACAGCACGACCAGTCCTTTGCCAACTTGTTTTGCGGGTCAAGAACTGTTCCATGTAATGAATCCGGTGATTATCCTGTGTCTACCCTGTCGATCGTCTCCATTGCTATATACTCGACGACTACGTTGACTACAATCTCCCGTTTGTCGCTCACAGTGCTAGAAACCCGAGATCTTGACTGGCGTTCGTGACTCTGACCTTGCCATCTACCTTCCACACGAACAAGCACCTGGACCAAAAGTATTACTGCCGGTGTCTGGTATAGTATCCCTCACGGGAACTTCAGCTATGACCTGGCTCTGGGATATACTCGTTGCGTCTCTCGGTTAATGATTGCCTGGAGCACCGCTTTTGAATCGACAACGATAGGGTCGATTGCAGCAAAGACAAGACTGCTCACAACGATGAGATGTGCTTCATCGTGCGCGATGAAGAATTGTACGACATAAGACTCTAAAAGAGCGCAGCAGCCCTGAACAACCTCGAGGAGACAACAGCAAACCATTGCTCGTGTGGCACGTTCGGTTTCGGGCACGGCGAGGTGGAACCCTCTGATTCAGTAGTCGAGATCGTAGTTGTTGGCGCTCGGTGCCAGGTGGGTAGGTAGGAGGGCGTCGACTTCCGTGGTAGACATGCTGTCGTCAATCGGATGAGGCAACCCTCGACGCCGTGGTTGATATATGATCTCTCGGGAATGTCAACGAAGTTTCTGCATCAAGCAGTCAGGCATGCAGAGTATTGCATATTGAGCACATGTACCATTGAATGCTGCCAGCTGATTGGACGGCTGGACGAGACGGAGTTAATCTGGTCTAGATGCCGGATGGGAGCCAGCAGATAATGATCGATTGTGCTCCATACCTACAGATGGACGAGTAAACAAGTGGGCTACTGGTCGGTAGACACCGGACTACACATGAGCAATTGCAACCACAAAGGGATCAACTCTTGGCGTTGGCGTTGGCGTCGACCACATCTATGCAGAGCGAGAATTGTGGGCTGATAAGCGCCCTGCACCCTAGCCTCTTTGCCATATTCTGCAACATAAGCCATATATCTGCACATTCGAAGCAATTCTCTGCGACCGGCAGTGGCAAGATCATACGCCCTCGGATGCAACGATAGATTCGACGATGGACAGGACTACATCGTTTGTGCATGACAGTACGATAGCTCGGGACTAGACACAGGCTTGAGCGGAATAAGGACAGGGACTCAAGTTGGTATCATCGCTCTACACAGCCTTTGGTGATCGAAGAAAAATCGATCTATCTCAGTCCTCATGTCTGTCACTGCCTCAACGCTGATTGAGACTTGATCAACATAAAGACCACTACCTGCTAGAGTCCCAAAACAATGAGCATACCCAGTGCATAGACGGACAAAATGCACTGAGTGCCTCGCAATCATCGTTCGTTGGTTCTTTCTCTTGGTCACCCGAACCCTCAATGTCAAATCACCGAATGTATTTGACCTCAATCTTCCAAAACCAGAACACAACCTCACCGGCATAGATTCTGTCGTTGTTCTTCGGTATGCCCTGATCAGCGCCAATTTTTGCTTCTTGGCTACAACCATGTGTCCCCTGATGTTGTTGTGCCTTTTACTACTGAATCCAACCCAGAGATGTCCCGAACTTATGCTGCTGTGAGTTGAAATGCGGGATCCGCTCGTGGTACAGACGCATTGATGATGATGCACGTGCACATCGCTTTAGGTCATCAGTAGTATTCACTGTGTGGAGGGGATGGATCGACCTTTCGGTAATTGGCGTTGGTTTCACCGCTCTTTCTCTGGTGATGTCGGCAAGTGACAATTGTTGATCGACTGTTCGTTCATGCCCAAGTCAGTGGGATCGTTTGAACGAAGACTGTTCTATTACGAGAGTAGAAAGAAGGCTCTCGATAGTCCGTCCGTACGAGACCTTTGCATTGGAAGACGTTGATTGGTTTCACGTGGAACACGTGTGTAGTTCCGTGAGAGCCCAATATACCATGATTTGTGATGAGGGACCGAGTAGCCTTCGCGCCGACGCATCATTCATATACACTCTCTTGATCTCGTCCGATATGACCCACTCCGAATACGACAAGACGACACTATCGACCCACGTAGATTCCATCACACAGACTGTACAACAAAGACAAAGCAACGTTGATGGTGTGACAATTTACTTGGTGGCTAGCAGACCTACCAACATCATCCATGCCGCGTTGTAAGTTGGCGAAGAAATTACACTATCTCCAAGCCACCTTCTGATATCCCGGGACATGGTCATCTAGGAGTGGTAGTGTACTCCCGGTCCACTCGTCTCTGACACGACAGAGTCTGTCTGCGTCGCCCCGTCTTAGGGACCTTCCAGGAAAGGAAAGCAAAGCCAACCGTGAGACGAGATCACCCAACCAAAACTTGTCGTAACCGGATCCAGTTGATAGCGGGCAGTGTGTTGACGTTCCGTGATTCTGCGAGATTAGATCTTCTGTGAGCCATAGTCTTGCAATGCATACGTATACCAGTATCATCAGCATATCTACTGGCTTCATAGATTCTTGTCTCGACCGTCTAGAACATGTGGCGCTGCGATTCCAGCTTCCATACTTTAATCCTGTGTTGATATTTAGAATGAGGCATCTCGATCAAGGGGATAGGATCATATTGACGTTCTACTTCTCTTCGGCAGTAAGGTATTCTCCCGATCCGCAGACTACATGGGGTAGCCGCTCATCGTGGGTGGTTTCTTTAGCATACTCGGACACACCACCCCCGATAAGTTCCAATAATATACATGTGCATGTGTCGCCGAATCTTATCTTGCCATAAGGACAACTCTTGCCGACACCTTGATCAGAGCATTTTCAGCAACCTTCGCTAGCATTACGAACTCCTGTTGCTGTTTCAACCCGCTCTGAGCAATCTGAAACGTCCTCTCTCTGAACCTCTTGAATCTTGTGGTGGATCGAAAGTGGTAGAGCCAGTCTATGCAGACAGTCTGTCTTGAAGCTATGACGTTGGAATTATATCAGCGAGCTTGACGCACCTGTCGACAATCTGTACCACACCGTCAATTTCCTGCATTGTCATCGCATGGAGTTCCATCACATAGAGGAGATCTCCTAGATACTCTAGGAGCTGAGTCTGCCCAGCAATCTGGCGCTGGAACAAGAGCCAAGCCGTCCTTGCGACGAGGTTCGCATTGCCAGCTGCGAAATTGGGATTACCCGTCTCCCGAATTCGCCGATGTATGTAACGCATGTGCAGAAGATCCTCTTCGTCCAGAATCAGTTTCTCGAGAAACTGTACGCATCGTCCACACGCATAATTAGAGTATTGTGTCCTGTATTCCTCGACCTTTTCGCAAGTCAGTGTGGGATGGTGGAACAGATCTCGAATTCACTCACGCAAGACTTTAGTGCCTCGTTGCCGTGATATGTGGTCAGCAGATGTTGCTACCAGTATGTAAGTATTCAAGTGTGTTTGGTCCGGGACACAAAGTAACCTACGATGAGGATGAAGAACGATCCGAAAAGCTCATCCTCGTAGACTTTCGCCTCTTTCAAACAGCCTTCGTAACCGAAGATTCTCAGTGTGCAGAGACTATGGAATGCTCTCAACCCTTCATTCTAGGCTCATTAGTCCAAAGCGCTTTTCCATCCTTTCACCCATACCCGGTGAATCCTGGTGGGCTGAGTGTGCCGAAGAATGAATATGACACTTTGATACGATCAGACCATGATACGAAAGGATTTGATCAGCATCTGTGCATTGCCCACTTCAGACGGACCGCGCAAGGAAAGGGAGCGACGCCAATGTCAAGGACATGTTATCTGACCAACAGTGGTTGCAGCTCGAACATGATTGGTCGTTGGCCGGCCGGTCAGCGTTTTGTGATTCTGCAAGAGAATATTGTCTGCGAGCCACATTCTGGCGACGCATAAGAGTATCAGGTTTACTAGCATATTCGCTTACTTTGTAAACATCTGCACCTAATCCTACAATTCTGTGGCCAAGCGATTCCTAGCGTCTCAACTCGAAACCATGTTGACAATTGAGCACGAAGCAGTTCAAGCAACGAAGCAGGATCACGTCGAAGTTGCGTTTCTCTCTTGCAGTATACCCGATGCTCATACCCACATGGTAGCAGCTCACCAAGGGTGGTATTACCGGCATATCCGGACGCACCACCACCTCTGAGGTTCGATAACATATACGTGCGCTGCTTGTCATAGTATCAGCGCGATACAGCATCTGCTGGATCAGTAGTCCCACTGTCTAAACGACATGTTGCACGAGCCGAACATATGACAACATTGCATAACCATCCACCGGATTTAAGAAAAAACAATCCACTGACCAAAACAGTATGAAGAGAGGATGACGCTCATTGATTCGAAGTATCGTGAGCAGCATTATACCGCATTCTGTCCCTAGCTACATGCTCTATTACATGGGCCCCTTGCGACACTTGATAGATCATACAGCGAATAACCGCTAGCCCCGTACATGCCTGCTTATCATTCAGGACTTCAAGCGGAAGATCCGATATATATCCGTCCTGCCCCCAGAAGGACTGCTCGAGTCAGCGCTGAAGCGAGAAGAGACTTTCTTAGGAGTGTCAGTTTCGATATCTTGGAGGGTTTGTTCTAGACGATATACCTCTGTCGATGCGTCAAACATAGAGCCTCCAGCATGAATAGATTCCTTTTCTGGCTTGGATGAGGGTGGGCCACAGAAGAAGATGGACAGGTCGAGATGAAGTCAGAAAAGTTGCATGATGTTTGGTCGAGTCTGTGAAGTCCAGCTCCAGAAGAGGCAGAAGAGCATTTTATGTTGAGTTTGCCTGCCCAAGTTCTGCTATCGCAGTCTGAGAATCAACCGCAGTCGCTCAGGATCTGTCTTTATACCTGGGGGTGTTGGAACTATCGCTATGCGGATGCACCTATTCGCTTAACTGCAGGTACTACTGAACGCATGCAAAGACTCCACAAACATAATCACTACAGATATAACATTCACACTAACATGAGGCGAGTGACAGGTAGTGATAGCTACAGGAGACAAGGCGCGGGACGTTCGAAATGCCCGAGGCGAGGGTCTAATCGTATTCTTGCATGCGGTCATGAGCACCATCAATCGTGGAAGAATATCTGAGCTGTGCCAAACTTGGCTCAGAGTGTTCCGTACACCAGTGACTAGCTACGCGTATGTGATTGACTGTAGTGATGGGACCAATGCCTGGTTATCACATCTTATCTATTATAGCCTGGTTCATGTGACCCGTCAAACATACCATTGCTAGGTCAGATACCCCACCCCAGAATCGAGCATGTTGGGATCGCCAGGGTAATAAAACTAATCTTGAACACTTCTGAAGCAGTACTGTAACACGACAAATCCCTGGAGCAGAGATCCATGTTCATGATAGAGCCAGGATATCCTAGCTTGTGCCAGCTTATGCTGTACCTACTTTTCAGTCAGTCGTGATCAGGAAGTAATGAGGTGGGGGACGAAATGGACTTCGTGAGAGACTGGTATTCGTGTGGCTCGAAAGGGTTTACCATAATCGAAGAGTAGCTACTTGCTAGGGTATATAGCGTGGTGAAACCCTGTGACGGTGTCTCTTTTGCATCGCCTCACGGCAGCTAGTTCTATAACGCCTTCATCACTGCGAAAAAACCTCCAGCCCACTGTCTCTGATACGGGTACATCATGAGTTTCGGAGACAAGGATTGAAGTCATACTGCGAGTCTCGAGATTGGTAGTCTCGATCCACTTCTCATCTCTCCCTTAGCATGGCTCGATCGGAATCAGAGAGACACTCCATCTGGCCTTCATGAGGTCGAGCTGTTCCCACAACTCAGAGATAAACTCCTGAGGCATTTCCGGTCGCGACCTGGTATCGTACTCATAGGGCGAAAGATGGCGAGCACTGGTGTAGTGCCAAGAATGGGGATGGAGCTCGATGATCGAATTGAACTTGACAGGTTCGCAAATGTCCGTCCGTCTGTCCACTCGATGGATCATGATCTCGTTCGACTGAAGTTCGTGGTGGCGATGTGTGCGGCCGATGCCCCAAGCTTGATGTTGTTCATACTGGACCAAAGTCGCGCCGATCCGCAAAAGCTCTTCTTCTGTGGGAGCGGCTGTGCAATTCAGAAGGGGAACGGCATTGTGGATCTGATCAGGAGTTTCAAGTACGGACGTCATTTTCGGTTTGACTCGAACCTTTTGGATATTGGTCAGAAGAACGTATGTGTAAGGGATTGAGAGGAAAAGGATGAAAACACCGAGTATGAATTGCTGTCTTGGGATTTTTGCACCCCCTCACCGCACCGGCCCCACCTTATGACTGTGAGGGAATTCAGCGAATCAGAAGACGCCACGAAGCGGAGGAGGTGGAAGGTGATTGCTTATCATCTGTGGTCGACTACCTGACTCTTCTTCTACTGCACCTGATCTCGGTGTGGACTTCTCTCTTCTTGGTATGTCATCTATCGACAGCTCTTGTGCATTTATTCGGACAGGTGAACGCCTACCAGGAGAGTTGGTACGGCGCGCTTGGGATGCACTCCGCGAAGCAGAGTGCGAGGAGATCTACAAGAGTGTACGGATGCGCATGATAAAGAAGGATATGATCTGCTGACATGCATAAGGAACTACACAAGTTCGCGTTCCTGGTTTTGAAAGACAATGAGAACGTAGCCAAGTTGGTTTGTCGAAGAGTGGCTCAAGGTAATATACGACAAAGTCACATGTGCAGCCCTTTCCGATCCGCGCTAAGTCCTGTCCTGCGCAGAGTAGTGAAAACATCCATGCAGCATACACCAACACCGACCTCCAACCACCGGACAAGCTAAGTGAAGCACTCGCGAACTATGCAGTCATCAAAATTCCCGAGACGCCTGACATCTTGTCGTTCAGCAAGGGTCTGACACTCAAGGCACAACCGATGATCTTCATCCCCTTGCAAGATTGGAACTCAGATAACGGATGTCCTTGGGAGGATGAAATCGAGGCAGGCGAAGGGGTGGCTTTCTTGGGCTCCGAACCAATACATTTTCCAAGCTCTGGAGATTGTATCTTGATTGCGATCCGCCTGCATCCTTCTTAGACTGGCTTCTTCAGATCATGTCAATCAACACAAAAGTATTCACAAAATCCGATCCATCAGCGTAGCGACCAGGTACTTCTCCCAGCGTTGGGTCAGACGAAGAGTGAATCATGCCTTCGATGCCGCTTCGAGGCGTACATGAGGAGACTAGTGGGAACTCAGGTTGGGACTGTATCCATGGACCTGGTCGTGGGATATTAAGCGAGGGAGGTACTGCTGGGTCGAAATTTGCACTGCCTTTGTCTCGATGTGACTGTGCTTTGAGGACCACGTCTGACTCACCTGCAGGTACCGCATCGAGTGTAGGTCCTGCACCTCCGTTCCGTGGTTGAATCCAAGGCGATTCTCCTTCGATACATGGTGAATTTATTAGGGTGATGGTGCTCGAACAGCCAAGATAGGGACCCTTAATTCGATGTCTTTGAGACCTGAGTGACGTTAGCGACTTGGCCCAAGTAAGGGAATGGACATCCCAACCTCTCTCCAAGTTCTCGAGTAGCTTCTTTGCAAGTGGTTCGAATTTCTCTAGATACGGAGGGATGACTGCAGACTGCTTGAGCTTTGACACTTTGGCAAAAATCTTTTCCTCCGAATGGTTTTTCATCCTTGTGAAGGATCAGTTTGGAATAATGATGCGCAAGCTTACAAACTCACCATAACGGGGGTGCTAGCAGCAGTATGCTTGGAACATTGTCAGCAGCGACAACTATATTACGTGCTGTACTACCATATGTCCTCAGCTTCCTGACACCCTTGCTGCTAATGAAATGTTTCCCAGCCCACAGAGTTATCACAGTATAGGCCAGAAGCTTCTTGAAGATGTGACGTTGATGGGTATCGCCCTCAACCTGTGCGAAGGTATCCGCAAGTTCAGATATGGTTGCCTCAGAAGAGTCGTCTGAACTTCGTGTGACCATCGATGCCCTCTCACTCGAACCGGCAAGAGCGGTAAAAGTACAGCTTGACCTGATCCAGGCATCTTTGTGTATCTCAATCGTATCCACTATGCTCTGGATGCTGCACACAACCTTTTGCCAGGCTTTGTCTTCTGCGAGTGTATCGGATTGTTGGAAGCTGTGAGTGTCGTTCACTAAGTCTGTTAGAGTCGATGGCGATATGATCGGGACAGCCTGTGAACAAGTCTCATTTTCGTCATGGGATGGTTCATCTACATCGAGATGTCCTGACGCTCGTGGCGCAGCAAGTTGCTCCACACGGCAGGGTGCTTCGTCTATTTCTGTCACATCCGAGTTCGTCGAACGTGACGCAGTCGTCGAACCTCGAGATAGTCGGAGTCGTTTCGCAGATGGTGCTGTGTTGGCAGAGACACGAGACCGCTTTGCTTGGCCTGATGGACGAGCTCGTCGTAATTCCAGCCGCCCTGGCTAAATGGGGCGGATTGCGCGGTCCACAACAAGAATCTATCGCTATGTCAAAGGTGGAACGAAGATCCGCTCTCTCTTCGCACGAACCTCTTCGTCAGTCAACCTGTCATAGTCCGATGTCCTCAGACGCTTACAAAAGCAGTCCATGACGGTTGGAGGAACAGACTTTAGCGGAGAAGTAGGACGCGGGGGACCAACCCCTTGAAGTCCACTAGCTATGTCAAGAATGGAAACAAGTTTGCAATCTTGGCACCCACCGAGCCTGCAAGCCCCTATGTCATCACTATGCTATGATACCCAAGGATTGCCTGCGAATCTGACATGCATTGTTACATAGTTTTTGGTGGATAGATGGTACGTTATCAACTTTTTAGTAGTCTGAGCATCTACGATCCTCGCGCCATGCGTCAGTCGACTTATGACTGTTTGAGCTAGGGAGATGAACTACCTCAATTTGCCCAAGATCTCGCGAAAGGCTCGACGCGCGGACTACATGCGCATTCGGTTCGACAGCCGTCGCCTCGCGAGAAATCTGACCCAGAACCGCAATATGCTGTGCCGAGATGTTGTCTCTTCCGAAAACGAGAAATGGTGGATGCTGTTGCTATCGCTAGATCTTCGAATACCGGATATGTGAGTTTACGCTTGCCTTGTCGAGAGCCCAACACTCCTCGACGGAAGGTGGACTGGCGCTATCGCGTGTGGCCACTTCTTCAAACCACTGAACATATTCGACATTGATCTCCAACCAGTATGCTCCGCGCAAGTCAGAAGCTTCCCCAATCTTCCGCAGTCTTTTAAAGTCCGTCGCTTTGCCTTTCACAGCAGCCAATCTGCCCTCGGCGATCAGAACGATATTGATTGCAGGGGTCAATATCAGATGAGCACAATGTTCGATGTGTATATTGTTGAGATCAATGTCACGATGAGCGAGATGTTGATGCTTGCGTTCATCGCAAAAACACTGCAGGTGGTAGACGAGCACATCACTGCATCAAGTCAGCAATGGCCCGCGTATTGAGGAGGAAGTTGAACCTCTCTGTAGGACATCCGAAGTTCGCGCTGTTTTCCACGATCACTTGTTCAGACGGAACATTCATGGCGACTCCGAATTTCGGCCAACAATTCGGATCAATGTTTGAAGGAAAGAGGGAAGAGTCAGTTCCAAGATATCTGCCCACCAGTGGGTGGGTGATGAGAGCCTGCCCAGTCAGGAGTCCCTTTGGTCCTGGAGACTCCTATATCCCGAACGCGGAAGATGATTGATGACAGTCTCTGTGATATACCGCCAGGGGTAGCTCAAACAGTCACGCATGTGATTCGGGAAAAATAACTCTTGGGTCTCAGGGTGCCGTAATTTAGTCACCCTGCTACAGTATCCGCAAGAACGTGCTGATTGTGTTCGGAATCTACGGACAGGGCGCTTTCTGTGTTTGATCTCCATCCCTAGAGATATCAAGCGCTTAGCAGAACAACAGCGCACCAGACCTTACGAGATCACTCCCTGAACGTGTCGAACACGTGCACGCCTTCGATCGCCGCTTTTGTCCAACGGAAAGGTCCGTCCAGGACATGCTCGTTCACAATCCATTAGAGTTATGAATGACAAGACGCCTCTGTTTACCGCTGCATAAGCTGCGACCATCTAAGATCTCCGACTCTTATGTCTGGTTGGGTCAGCCAGGAAGAGACCAAGTCGGCGGCAAATCACAGTTTTGTTAACTTCCACTACATGTGCATTGTTTGTTGATGCGGCAATTCTGTACGCCTGGTCTTCTCGATCGCTTGATGACAATCATGGCACGCGAACTTGAGTGGTGGACGACACAGGCTTGACGCGAAGCCCGTTTATGCACTCCTGAGTGAATCCGACGCTTACGATCGGTTGAAGTGCTTGTTGTCTTCATCCACTTTTACCTCTCTAAGACTGTTGCGCCAGCTCTCTTGGTGGATAAAACTATCTGGCTAACACTTGGGCCCAAGTTGGGAACATAAACCGCGCTGGAGCTGGACCAATACTTCGATGTGACTGCAATCCTGACAGTCCTCACGACATTGTGCGATCACTGCTAGCCGTCGAGGAATATGGATCCGGTGACCGGTGACTCGGATTGCCTCAAATTATAGCACACACAGTGCTGAGGCCAGGCATTATAAGATGGCGAGCAGCACAACCAAGGCAAAAGCTACTGTAGAGCACATATGAGTGGCAAGAATGCTCGTTTTGATCAATCTCTGCCTCATTTCGGCGTGCTCTTTTGTTGAAAGACTCCCCTCGACAATACGGAAGATCAATCAATCACCGCAGGTTGTTCTGATGTTCCGAAAGACTAAAACATGCAATCAGTTGGCGTCTCGTTCCATCGTGTGCATCTTGCCATCATCATTATCATTATCCGAAAGCGTCGTTGATCTCGTATAGTATCAACCTGACATGTGTTTGAAGCCTCTCGAATCTAGTTGACTTCGAGACAGAAGGTGGTCGTGAGGTTGGAAGCACTGCTGACCTCAAGAATCACCATCTCCTCGCTTCTCAAGCTATTGTTCCCTGGCACTCAGCTTGCGTGCCTGGGAATAATGGCTTGTGATCAACTCGTGAACAGTATTTGGCTGTGTCTTCATACGATGTTTGATCAGCTCTCACCTTCATACGACAACATTTGCGCGCTTTGCGACTGATCCCAAAAACGTTTGGTCTGTACAAAAGAAGTCTTCTATCGGAGACGCTCTTTTAGTAGGACAGTCTTCCAACACGACGGGCTGAAGAGAGTATCCTTGAAGTTCAATTGTGTCACTCAGATGAGTCAAGGATAGAAAGAACACCACTGACAAGATGTAAACTTCCTAAGACCAGAACTTCAGCCCCACAAGCATTGCTCGCCAATTCCCCAGCCTTACGAAGCGCCTGTGCGATTGTATCACAAATGGAAATTGTAGACCGTTCTTCGAATACTTCCCAGGTCGATCTGCAACCCTCTAGAACGTTTGGGTTGTAACGTTTCTGCAGATTTCTTTCTTTCTCAACTGTCAGCGATTACATAGGACGGCAAAGGGACACACCTACCATTACTGTTGATATCGTCCCTTCCCGTGTTATAAGACGTAAAGATGACGTGGTGGACAAGTATGTCGTTTTTCTTGAGATGGTAAGCAACACAGCGAAGTAAATCGTCGACATTCCTCCTCGAAAAATGACTGAAGATCAGTATTCTAGTCGGATTATGTATCGCACTGCTTAGAAAATCAGACTCAGACACATATTCATGCCTATGGACTTACAGTCTAGAAATCCTCTCGGCGAACCATTCGATGGCGTGGGATACGCCCGATGCGTTGTGTGCTCCATCGATATACAGTTGAAGACCATCCTTCTCGATGTGTTGGAATCGGCCTGGCCAGATAGGGTCTGGGCAGCTAGCCAGGAGCTCAGCTGTCGATATCGACTGCCGGACACTATTAATGTTTGCTTCGATGTAGGTGCTCACCAATGCCAACGCGAGCGAGCAGTTTGTCTTCTGGACTTTCGGCATGCCTGGGACCGTCATCTTTTCCAGCATCTGGTTCGGTGTGATTATTTCCAGCGTAGTGTTTCTCTCTAAAGCTCGTTCCCGGAGGACTTTTTCTACCGACGTCGTTTGGGGACTTGAGAAGGCTGGCGCTCCCTGTTTGAAGATCCCGCTCTTATGCCAGGCAATGTTTTCAATGGTAGGTCCGAGTAGGTGTGCGTGATCCTCGGCAATCGTAGTCACTGCCGTGGCGATAGGATTCATGACAATGTTCGTCGCATCATACTCGCCACCGAGATGCGTCTCATAGATCGCAACGTCCACTCCCTCAGAGATAAAGACATGGAAAGAAAGAAGCGCCAACAGCTGGAGATATCGTGGAACATCTAAGTCCTCTGAAGATTTCTCCGGCAACTTGTTCCACACCTCGAAAAAGCGCTTGGCAAAGAGCTCTTCTGAAATTGGTGCACCATTGATTTGAAATGATTGACCCGCTCCAGCCATTTCACCATATCATCTGAACCACGCATCTCAAGCACACTCGACTTCGGGGCGGCTTTTCGCGAGTTCAAGCAACGGACAGCAGCCTACCATTCGGTTAGAAGGCACTGCGATTTGTGTCTTGCCATTTCTGTGTCCCGAGAGTTGCTACGCACCTGATAACTTTGATCCATGGAGGCAAGCGACTCCCCAAGTCTGTAAAATGTTTGGGATTAGAATTTGCTGGTTGTTCACTTCGCAATGAGATTATGTAGCCAAACACGCTAGACCGAAAAGGATCACACCACAATGCGGGGTGGCTCCTGTGCGGCACGACGAAGCAGAAATGCACCATGGTTGGAACCCCACCATGCATGAGCTGATGAGCTGATGACCAGAGTGGCGCGGAGCGCGCCATGTGATTTATATGTGGCTGGGCTCCATGACAACGAGACCACGATCCGTGTACCGTCTTTCCCTGATCAAGTGTCTTCTGCGCTAGCGCGTAATCTTTGGCGAATTTGCTGCGAGGCAGCAAATTCGCTTCGAGAAACGGCACAGTGGTCAGAATATGTATTCGCACCGCCTCTCCTCTCTCCGCACTGTTTATTACGAGTCAAGCTCAACCTGTGGCTGCCACGGGCGCGACTGTAGTCCTGGAACACCATCATGGCTACACGCTGCTTCTGCCAGTTTCTTCGCACGAACGATTACAGTGGCATTAGCGCCGATGAGGTATACATGTTTCATGATCAACATAGCACGGGCTAACCTTCCAAGTGGCAGATCATGAAGGGGGCCCTCGCAAGTCATCAGATCCAATCCGATCTCAGTCACGCTACGGAACAGCCAACTAGGCTGACGGAGTGCGAGCGACGAATATTGACTGACGAGGTAGTCGCCACGAGAGCGAGAGCTACGGTCGAGACGGATAGCGACGAGCCTGACCAGAGACTGCGCAGTCGTGGTACCCGCTCAGTCGTCCAGTCTGAAGGAGTTGTGCGATCAAGGAAGAGAGCACACGGCCTCGATCACATCACACATGTTCCTGCACAAGCCACTCCAGGCGATCCAGGTATCGCGGTACAGCCTGGTAATCTAAAAGTCGTTGCATCTATGGGTCAACGGGTTTCTGGGTCAAGAAAACGCAAAAGAAACCCTGAACTCGACACTGGAGGCTACAGAGTACACAACACCAACGAAGGATTTTTGAGCAAGCCAAGCATCGACGTCGAGCAACTCTTGGAAACATACGGCGGTTTGTCAGAACGGTCGGCGGCGGACTGGCTGTCCTACCCGAAAAAGTTTTTCCAGATGGACGATATCCCATCTGCACTTGGCAAAGTTAATCGCAGAGCGATCGACAGGGCCCTTTGCATATTTGGAGTCGCCGGGAGCTCTGAGCATCACAGCAAGATGATCCAGGTGGTGACGGCGTACACATTCCAGCAGGAACACGGTCGTAAGCACATCAATGAACCTGGCCTCAAGCAACTTCGCCAACGCGGAAGCAAATTCTCGACTCTTGTGCAGATGTTTGAGCACAAAAGTATTCTGTTGCTCATGCCGTGTACAAGGTATGTCGGTGTGTCGGTTGATTTGAATGAGCTACTGAAACCAGACCCGGTAGTCTTCTAAGGTTGGACAACGAAGCACTGGAACAGATGAAGTCACGAATGGAACTCTCCGATGACTTCGGTGATCTGAAACATCAACTAAATAAGCATGAAGTACTGGCTCAGAGCTTGATCACGTTCGTTAAGCAAGGTATGGAGTCTGGGACACGAAAGCAGGATCGGGCTGATAATCTAGTGCTTCTGTGTCATGTACCCGTCCGAGAGCAAACAAGTAGCGATGGCGCCATGGAAGTTGTCGTCAATGAGACAAGCTTGACACAAAGCCAAGGTATGCACTTGCCTTCTACGAATGACCTTAATACTACAGATTCACAGAGGTATTGCGCAACAGCGAGTGAAGTATCTTCCGAGGACTGCCACTCTAGACTACTGAAAGTTCTTTTTCTCTTCAAGGACCATCCAATCTCGAGAACAGCATTGTTTCGTGCGACACAATCGCAAAAAATGTGGGACAAGACTGGAAACGCTTCCTCGCTAAGTATAGCGGAGGCAAATTTTGATGAGGCTTGGACATCGGTCTTCTCGAATCGTTCGAGTCTGCAAAGCGCCTTGGAAAATTGTATCGAGGAAGGATCAATTATTGATCATACGCCTCAGGCTGAAGAAAAAAGCTATTCGTTAAGCCCATACCGTCAGGAAACATTACAGAAGTCCAACGCGCGAGAGACATTAGTGCTTCCTAGTGCCATGTTGGTGGCGCACATCTTCCCAAGGGAAGAATTTCTTGATCGAAGGTACGAACATACTGGATGTTTGAACTTCGTACTGACTATCATCAGTTACCACCAAATTCGCAAGCTTATCATGCCATACATTCACCTAGTACTCCTGAACGTGAACCTCGATGGAACCATGGATATGCCCAACATTGCGCGAGAAAGCCTAGTAGAATTGTATCTGGCTTGCTGTCGCACCAGAAGTCGCCAGCAAGTTTTCATGCCAGTCTTCTGCTCAATGACGTTATGCCAGAACCTGCCGGACTATCTCATACTAGCTATTGCAGAAGTCCAAAGCGTTGCGTATCGGGCTCAAGGTCGACTCGAAGACTCCAGCAAAATGATACAGCGAACCATCGAGAACACTCAGTGCGTAAGTATACGAGCTCACTGTCAAAGGGGACGACTAGCACTTTCTCCCGTAGAGAATGCACTGCTACGCGAATTGTACCAAGAAGCAGAATCGGCGCTTAGTGAGTGGGAGGTGAGGAGCGAATCACCAGCTCAACTCGAGTTACAGGTACTACGGATGAAGAATACTGTGGTTGGCAGAGTCTCGCGATACAAAGGTGATCTTGGACACGCGGCAGAATGTTTGGAGACGTGTCTACAGGGCGTTCAGACGGAGGTAGCCAGATACCACGTGGCCCATCATCTAGCCGATGTGTATTGTGAACTCAAGGATCCCAAAGCTGCGGAACGTGTTCTAGAGAAAGATATCAATCGACTTCAAGGAGAAGGAACTACGGCGTCAAAAGTAACGCGTCGATTGTTTCTTCCCTTTGCTGAGGCACTGATTCTACAGAACAGATGGGAAGACGCAGAGTCAAAGCTGACTGTTCTCACGCAAGCATTCGACCAGATCGCCTGCCCGGACTTCTCAGATCAACTAGGACATGTAAGATCAATCATTGGTCTGGCTCGCATTGCTCACCACAACTTTGATTATCGTAAGACCATCGAGAGAACGGAGAAGGCTTTAAATCTCGTAGACGAATACGAAACTTTCAAAGATCTTACATTCTACGGAGGATTCCTCCATCGACTCCAGGCGTCTGCATGTCGGAGGCTGAGGATGAATAGGGAAGCTAAGGAGAGTCTCGAGCACGCAGAAAGATACGATCAAGAACCAAGGCATTTCATGACTGGGATCGGTACTTATGTACTAGAATGGCTCAAGGACTCTGAGGGTATGGATGCTCAAAAAACAGATGCACCGGCAGACCATCACCCGCCGACAGGGCCAGATGTACTTGCCTTGCCGTGAGCATGAGAACTCTTGCATATGGAACGATGACCTCGTCTTTCTCTGTTGAAGCGTGCACTCACTATGATGATGCTGTGCTCACTGACGCTGCCTCGAAGCTGATCACGACGCATTATACAGAATTTCCAAACGTGATGACTCATGCGTTCATGTGGCCAAGTCTGCCACATGCGAAATAACGAACAATAACATCGGAGGGTTCTTCGTGTGAGCGCGATCTATCGATTCGAGACTAGCTTAAAGATCATGCGAGGATGGGTCGATTAGTCGATCGCATGATGTTCAGCATTGCTTGACGCGGACGACGGTGCGCTGTCCTTAGTGACTCTTCGTGCTCTGTGGTCTGGAGTTTGTCATATGTTATATTAAGATGATGCCTAGCGACTCCCAAGCCATGGCAGTACCAATTGTAGACCCACAGAACATTGGTGACGCGAGCACAGTTTTCTAGCTCAGACAATTTGACAACACTATTGTTTACTCAAGTAGACTAATCTTGCAATTCTCTGGTATCGCTAAATAAGTAAGCACTTGTTGACGGTATTCGAGGAGAGGCTAATTGAGTGCTCTGAAGTCCGTGCGTGCGACGGAAAGTCGATGCCGAGGGTCCAAGATCCCCCACCAATGAAATCTGCTTCACTGATAATGCTGAAATGGCGGCACCAGGACTATGCGAGCGCGGTCGGTCCAATCCGACCGCGTGCCGCAAGACTTCGTATCGAATCTCCATTCGCCCTGAGACCCACTGTATACTCAGCTCGCCTAGACGGAGGTATTGACCCATGATCTGTCGAAGGATAGATAGCGGCGCCTCAATGTAAGTGCTCCTATGCGGACGGGGCACAGCAGACCGCGAATTCTACCAGAGCTTGGGGTCATTGTATATAATCATGACGCTGCTGCTATCCATCGATCGCCTTTTGGTCTCTAGTACCGACTTCGACCTCGCGAAATGACCACCGCCACGCCATCTAACACAGTCTCGGGGTCTGTCAGCACTCTGACACCCACTGGGTATGACAGTTGCAACGACGACAGCTCAGTAGCGCACACTCTACAACTATCGCTACTCGAGCAATCGAATCCGCGTGGCTGGGTTCGCGCACTATTTTTCTTCAAATCGCTTTCTCACGTTGAACCTGGAGAGACCGTCGAACTCCTCCGCGAGGGATTGAAGCCGACCCTCCAGGCTATTCCATCGCTCGCGTGTGAAATCGTGCCTTGCGACGACGGGAAGAAACCGACTGGCAAGATCGCACTTAAGCACGGTGATTTTGGATCGCTTATAGTGAAGGATCTTCGTGGAACTGGTCTCGACTACGAAGAGTTGCAAGAGCAGAATTTTCCTCAATCGCGACTCGAGCCCGCTAGTCTTTGTGCCCGAGGTGTTTTCCCCTTGCCCAACGAACAGCAACCAGTATTCGTCCCGCAATTAAACATCATCGATGGAGGTTTTATCCTGACTCTACACAGCCACCATACAGTCTTTGATGCTCAAGGAATCAACGAGGTGCTGCGAGTCTGGGCTAAGAATTGTCATCACCTACAAGATAATACTGTCCACAGGTGCGATTCTTTGCCTGTCAGGTCATTTGACCGGACCGCACATAATGCTTCCCACGAGTCCACCGCTCAAATGGGTCGCCCAGAGCATCATCCTGAACTCATCGTCGCCCCCGAACCCATCACTTTTGGAGAGACGGCTACGAAAGACACGCATAGATCCCGAGTGTACAGACTGTCTCCTGAAGCTTTGGAACAGCTAAAAGATGACTGCTGTGAGGTTGGAAACCAGTGGACATCGACCAACGATAGGGTCACTGCATTGATCTGGCGCTCGGTGATCCGAGCGCAGGTTGACCTCGAACAGCTTCCGGACGACGACACATTGTCGCATCATATCATCAATGTCGATCTGAGACTTCGTTCAGAACCACCTTTGTCGAAGCACTACCCAGGATGTCCTATGAACTACGCTCGTGCGGCCATGGGCCTGAAGGATGTCTACAACTCCCCAAGCCTTGTCCCCATTGCCATCGCGGTCAGACAGGCGATAAACATGAGGACGTCTGAGTATGTCAAATCGCTCATTACCCTTCTTGCCAACGTTCCTGGCTATGATCACGTTGTGTCGGCTTCGTTCCCAAATCTGATGACGATCGACTGCCTGACAAGCACGTGGAACAAACTCGACATCTACGACCTCGACTTTGGCCCAAAGATTGGAAACATCGAAAGGGTCAGATTCCCTACTGGAGGGCTGTTCAATGGGCTCAGTATGATTTATCCGCAGGTCACCAGAGGGGAGGGTGTGGGTATGGAGATTGCAATTGGTTTGGACAAGTGTAACTTTGAGAAGCTGGAGCGGGATCCAGTCTGGTGCAAGTATGCAGAGCCGACAGATCATGGACATGACTGTGTGTAGCGGACAAAGGGATACCTTGTGTGTCTATCTCGAACGAGATCAAGTCGTCAAAACCAGATTGAGCAGCCGAGTGTACCCGCGGCGTTCTTCACTAATGCTTGGTTGCAAGCCTGCGCATAGACCTTAATCGATCAGAACGACGCCGTTGAATGTGCCGCATCGGGCTCGCTACCGAGAAAGCGACCCGCTGCCGATCGCAATCTTCTCCCCACTCAGTTCACGAATGATCGCGCCATCAGTGGTGTACGTTCTGCAATATACTTAACTCACTTCTTCATGTGCGACGCGTTTCGTCTAAATGCTAATGGCTGTTCAACGTCTGGGACCGACCCGTCTCTGGTGACCCATTACGAGCTGTAACTTTCACACAAGAACAACCCCAATCTCTAGGTAATTTTGAATACACGAATTGTTGTCAGGGCCTCTACTCCGGTTTTTTTCTGGCATCTTTTTTGACGCACGTCGTCGTCTCATTGGTACGCAAGGATGTTTGAGCTTCTCTCCCAGCCTTTACTAGATAGTCATAAGATTACGACCCGCTTTCGCCCGCCCATTCATAGGTATGCTACCCATTAGGTCACTTTGCAATGGGACAGAAGCGGCAAAGCTCCTTGCGATCCACTGTATACTACCGTCTCCTTATATCAAGCCGCCCATGATGGCGCCGTATCCTTTGAATAATCTCACGCACTTGATTTCGGCGAACCTCTCTCACAACTGCCAAAGATCCCACCACGAAGGTTGACTTTGCCCCGGCAGTCCTACAATGGTTCGATCGGTGACAGAACTATATGGAGATCCGCCCCCTGGCATTGATCTTGCGGCCAACCAGGAGATCCTTGACGACTCGGTCGTAGCAGTGCTTGCCATCCTCGCTACATTTGCGGTCGCTTTCCGTATCGTCGTCAAAAAGAGAAAGCGCGACCAATTGCAAGGTGATGATTGGTTCATCTTGATTGCTCTGGTATGATCATTCGTGGTACAACACAAAGGTCGGATGTGCTGACTGACTGGCTATCAAAGCTTGGAGAGTACGGCACATCTGCCTGCACACTCACCAGTAATTATTTCGGAGCGGGAAGACGCATCTGGGCTACCGACACACCATCACTGCGCAAGATGTCCATTGTAAGTGGTGCTTGATATGCAATCTCCGTGATAGATTCGTTGACTCGATGATTCCAGGCATTGTTCATCTATCCGTGGATCTACGTTGTCGCGACGGTCTGCCTCAAGCTCTCATTCTTATGGACGTACATGCGCATATTCTCACCCGGTACGATACGCAGCACGATAAGATGCAGAACGCTGTTCGATCGGTGCCTAGTCGCCTGCGCGCTTGCGTCTTTCTTGTATGCCTTTTCTGTCTGGTTACCAATGACGGTCGCCTGTCGACCCTTGAGCTATTTCTGGGATCAGTACACCGGTGCAAGAGGCGGAAAATGTATGGACTACCTGTCGATGTGGATAATCACCGGTATCTGTAGCGCAGCCCTCGACTTGGTAATCTTGCTCCTGCCGATTCCGAGGGTCTGGTCGCTACAAATGTCTTGGACAAGGAAGCTAGGTGTGATGGGCATCTTGGCTTTAGGCACATTGTGAGTACCTGCAACCTTCTTGATTTTCTATTTGTCTTGGAGACTGACCAGATTCCCGAAGCGCTGTGATTGCAGTAATTATCCGATTGGTTTACATGTCTCGAATGATACGCGAAACCGACATCATGTGGGCTCTGGGACCTGCTCAGATCTGGACATCGCTTGAGCCATCGTCGGGTATCGTGTCTGCATGCTTAATCACAACATTCCATCCCATATTGAGAAGCATTCGAATCATCTTTCGACTCGAGGATCACATCAAAGGCAACAGATTGTCTTACCACGATAGACAAACGATCGGTAGCATGGCTCAACGCAAGCTTCCACATCCAAAGCCAAAGGATCAAGAGGACGATGAGGAGGAGTTGACACTTTATCATGACGTGAGAAGATATAAAGTGTCTGTCACAACAGGAACGTTACTGCAGGGCGTGCAGGCGATATCGCAGGAGGCTGTCGAAGAATCATCGCGGCAGGAATGGCGGGACTCCTCGCGAAAAGGTGCGCCGGATGATAGAATTCAATTTGAGACTAGCGTTGTCGTCAAGAAGGAGTTTTGAAGTGATGCCTGTGGGGCTCCACGGCTGGGAAAGTGCGCTACTGTACGGTTTACAAACATCATTGGAAACCACTACCATATCACATTCACTCCTGCGACCAAGACCCGTGTTTGCAGCGAAATTGACACTGATCGATGGCGGACCCATACTAAGCTTCTGCATGATGCATTTGATTGCTGATGCGAGAGCTATTTTTGAGATCTTCAAGATCTGAGTTGAGAATTGTAAATATCTGCAGAATTCAGAGGGAAGACCTTCCTGTCAGCACAGATACCATCGGCATCGAGCGCTTAGAGTGTTGCGCGGTTGTTGGCACAATCATGCCATTCTGCAAGCGATACACTGCTCGAAGCGTGCGGCTGGGACGTCCAGGATGGCTCGACTGCTGGTGGGAGCACTTCTTAAAAGCCATGTGTGATGTATCGCCTACCTCTTGGGTCGTGTTGGGTTGATCTGAATTGCATAGAGCAAGGATACACGCAGCAAAACGAAGATGCACCGTGTTACAGTGGTCGCAATGGTTGCAATGATGATCTGGATTGCGTCGTTCCTGGTTTCCGTGCTACTGACTTTGTTCGCTCTGGACGAGAAATGTCTATCCTCTATCCCTCTTCGAATGACGAGCGTACGAGATATGTGGGATCGGCTTGTGGTCTTGTTGCGATTGCTATTGCTCGGGGGCATAAGTAGTGCGCCTAGCCATTGACCTTGTTCCTGTTGTTCTCAGTACGTGGAGCCAAGCATGGGCAAAAATGCTATTGTTGTAGTCAATTCGTGAAAGATGACCTCATCACGATGAGTCATGATCGCTAATCTGCATCCGGTTCTGCTGCGTGGGTTGAATGAGGACTGTAGCTTGAGCTTCGATCATGCTGTGACAGGCCCTGCATGACATCCAGGTGCCAAGGCGCACTGCCACCACAGCATAGGTGACGCACGGGCTTTCTCCACAGTCATGCTGCCGCCCACGATAACGGCCTTTCTCACGAGCTCAATTGCAAAGAGACACCACGGTTTGACAATGTGTTCGCGATTTCGAGGCGAGCAGAATGCGAAAAGGAAGTCGGGACGCTATGAATTCGATTCTGGGGTTTATTTTGAGATGGCACCTCATTCGCCGAAAGTAGTTGTTGTAGTTGTTGTGCTCATCATGCTGGGTTGTCAGTTAGCTTGCTCGCTGAAAAAGGTTGGACCTTTTCACTAGGATAGTTCCATTCCCTACAAGAAGTCGCATAGACTATATCTTTGATGGGATAAACTACGACACAAAATCGTTCTCTGCTGCTCGTTAGCTCCCGACAGGCTACAAGGTTAGTATGGCCATATTTAGGGAGCCTCGCGAAGAACAGGGTCTTGGTCACAGCAACAACGGCGTCAGAGATTTTGACAGGCAAAACTCTCTTTCTAGCGTCTTGCAGCGCTAGCGGTCGTGGCCTGTGAGACTCGAATCCTGTGGGGACACCTTTCGTACCAGTTTCGCGACGCTCGACGCCTTTTTGATGTTTTCCAGCTGTTCATTCTCAAGGTGGTCAAATTCGGAGAGCTGTGGTCTTAACGCCTATTTCCATCAAACTCTGGTCGACAATTGTCCGCTTCTATAGCCAGAATGAGTGCTTCGGACAGCAATGGCTTGCCGCCAGGTAGCGACGCGTCGACGCGGCCAGGTCGCGAGAGCGGACGCAAAAGAGGTGCGCAACTACGCTGCGCCGACGAGACTCATGTGGATTGTACACTAACTCAGCGAAGCGAGAAATTCTACCGGGACTGGGGCGCGAGTTGCAAAGCAAGCGCGAGCCGTCCATCCTTTCTCAACCCCGGGCCCCCCGGTACGGGGGTCTATCAGTGATGTGATCAACAACTCAGATGCTTCACCGCATCCGGGCGTATGGGAGGCCGTGAACAAGCAGAACGCCACCCCAATCGCCTCACCAAGTTTGGCCAAGAGCGAGGAAACCTTTGCGCAGCTCGCAAAGAATGTTCTGCTGGAACATCCAGAGGGTCGCACCTCTGAACAAATTTCTATAGCAGTCCACGAGACCGGTATAAAGGGAAAGGATCTGAGCGTGATAAAGCCAAACGTCAGCGCCGCCCTGAGCTCCCATTCTCGTGGTGACAAAGCTATCTTCAAGAAAGGCCCTCAAATTGAGAAGAAGCAAATATGGCTCTTGAAGAACCCGGATAGTTCTCCCCTTATGAGAGACGAAACGTTGGAAAGAATCTTCGCGTCTGGCGGACCTGATACCACCGTTGACGCAGGTACTATTCAGGCGCGTGGATCAGGTGAGCGGCATAGCACAACCAACGATTATGTCTCTGTACTTGGGGAGCAATTAGCCGAAGAACATTCAGAGACAGACAAAGGCGACGCTGCGACACTTCCAGACGCTGATTCGGTTGAGGTTACCCGGATGATTAACAACGTGATCGCAAGTGCAGGCCAAACTCCGCCTCCAGGCGCATCGGATGGACCGGCTGCAGCACTAGCAGTTGAGCCAAGCCAACACCCTCATCTGCATGAGTTGCAGCAGGATGGTCTGCCTTCAGTTGACCGGCTGGAAGAATCATCAGCTGCCGATCCTCAGCCTTCTGTGCTCGAGTGTGTCCATGCTGTCGGTACGCCCTTCTCACCCCCTCCATTCACGACGGGAGAGGGTACTGTTTTGGCACCGCAACGCGTCGCTGCAGAGACTGAATCCACACGTCCCGCTCCCATGGAGGCACAGACCGGTGCTGTCGCTCGGGATGTCTCCCCAGAGAGAGCCCTGCCTCTTCATCTAGCGGCCACGATTGGTATGCATGTCAAAACTTTCATTGACTGCCACCAACAGCAGCCGCTAGTTTTTGAAAAGTACCTCTCGTCTGGCAATCGAAGCGATGGTGACGCACAGGCAGCTTTCAAGGATATCGTAAGGCGGCTCGGGGCAAACACGACGCTGGAGCCAACAATCTCGCAGCCTGTCAATACCTTTCAAGATGCCCAGCAAGCATTAGACGATGTCAGGCGAGCAAAAGCTATTGAAGGACATATTGATGTGGCAATCGTGGATTGCAACATAGTGCAGGCCGCGATGAATGCTAAGATCGCTCGTCTTAGACATGTGGTCAGCGATCTCGACGCCTTAAAAGAGACGCTGCAGGAAACCAAGGGGCAAGCTGCAGCTAGTAGAGAATCTTCTGGAAGAAGAATCAAAGCTTTCATTGGCGGTCAGGACAATGACGGTCAAAACATCGATTAAGGGGAATCCCATGCTACATCCTGAGGGATGTTGTGATTGAATCTGGTGGTACACGGATAGTCACCACCGAGGATTTTGGATAGTCAGCTTCAAGGGCAGTCTATAAATGCTAAATGTAAAGTGGATGTTTCTACACTTGCTATCCTTTTTTATGCAAGGCATTCCTCCAAACGAATTCACACTGAGGACCGTTTGAAAACCATCCTTCCATCGCGGCAGCCTAGAAACTAGCCCACTATGTGTTTCACGACCCCGGACTCATCCCCGTGATCCTCGTTACTTTTCTCCACCCGTTGGCCATACATGACGGCCCCATCTTACGAATCTTTCAATCAACGCAAAATTGTCTTGGGTCTGGCGCTTGAGGACGGGCCAACTCTCCTCAACTTGTTCCACAAATCCCACTCATGATTTTGAACACATTGCGGGTCGGTTCGTCGTGACCAGACGCTTCGTATCCTGCAGGTAGCTTCTGATAGGAAACAAAGATACGGTCATGTAAATGCTACTCAGAGCAAGGCTTCCCTCGAAGATCGAGTCATCGCAGCCTGGGCAGCTCCGGCACGGGGTCGCGAGCAGGTAGCGTGAAGCGAGGGAAGTAACAGTCAACAGAATTGCAACTACTTGTTCGTCAGGATCTGAGATAGCCCAGTCATCCGAAGCAATCTACAGATGCAGACTTCATGATAGTTGGAGACTGGAACTTGCCAGATAGACCGGAATATTGGTCCTTTCGAGTGTCGAGTCAGCTCATATGATTAGTGGATAAGCATGCATTCAATTGTCAAACACTCGAACCACAATAGAATAGACAGCCGTGAAGACAGAAAGATCGATCGTTTGTTGCCTTTCTGACTTGAATGCGAGTCGGCAAAAGGGTCTAATGATTGGTAACGCAACCAATATTCTAGATTTCCAACCAGGTTACACATCGCTGCTTGCTACAACGGTCTGATTCTGTAACACATAGCCATTGCGCTCCTAAGTCGGCGGCTCTGTTCATTGCATTCCAAAGTGCTAGACTAGCTCCTGGAAAGCGGTCACCGCAGCGGGCTGTCAGGCAACCCTGCGATGTGAGCCTACAGTGAGCATCCAAATCCAGAAAAGTCTAGCTACCGGAACCATAGAGGACACCTAGTAAGGTCAGTGATTGGACGAGACGAGAAGAAATTCCAAGATAACTCACGGCCCTGCCGCTTGAGGGCGTGGACAACATCAATTGAAGTGACGGTCTTGCGTTGTGCATGCTCGGTGTAGACGACGGCGTCACGGATCACACTCTCGAGGAAGGTCTTGACAACACCGCGGGTCTCGTCATAGATTGTAGCAGAAATACGCTTGACACCACTACGGCGAGCAAGACGACGAATGGAGGCATCTGTGATGCCCTGAATAGTGTCCCGCTTACTCTTACGGTGACGTGCAGCACCGGGTTCCCCAAGGCCGTTACTGCCGGTCCCGCGCTGATCCCGACCAAGCGCTCTTTTGTGTTCCAACTTTCCTTTTCCGCCTATCGACATGAGACGTGTCAGTATGTTCAACTAGATATGACAAGGTGAGGGATGCCTGTGAAACAGTGCGGTGAAACAGGAGATGTGTCGCAAACGGAGCTGGGAAGACGAGTGCGTTATGCCGTAGCAGGAACAATGGATCATGCTCTGGAGAACAGTACTTGACTTACTACCCCACGCGTTCCTGGCCATTCTGTATAGAGAGATCAAGATTGAACACGGGAAGAAAGACATCACGGTGGTATGCCGGCATTGCAGGAGAGATTTATGAGCGCCTTTGGCCGTGGCGCGCAGTCACTGCAAGATGATCGAAATTACCTCTTATGATGCGATTTGTTGAGCGCAGAGGCGATCGATGTGTAAGTAGACAATCCATGACAGGAGTTACGATCCATCGTAGGCCAATAGCAAGCTAGCGGTATGCTGGCTGATAAGGCACGAGCTCAAGTGTGTAGCTGTTTCTCCTTCACTACTTGTCACCAGTGGTTAGTTGGTACTCCTGAGAGTTGAGTGGGATCAGATGTCTACATTAGTCTCCTCAACGCAGGCCCAGGACGGTGATGTGTGCGCGGGACGGCATAAGCAAGCTCATGAGTAAACAGAACATGATGGAAGAATCTCTTCCAGTAACAGGTGCGATGTGTAGATTTCTTGGGAAAGGCTTAGCTTGTAGGTATGACTTGGTGTTGAAAACAAAGTAGGACGCTCGACAGAGAGGAGACTTCTTGTAGTGCGGGTCCTACATTCATTGTTTCTCTTTACACTATATTATGCCTTGACAAAAGTGTGCCCCGTTATTGCAGCTCAGATGACGATATGTGGGTTACAGTGACTGCGCAAGTAGCACAGGCAGTCTTATCTTGTCCTTCTAGTTGTTCTCACCCGACCACGAACGAGCGACGGCTCACACAACCGTAAGCTCGAAGGGTATAGTACTTCAGCATTTTCTATGATCTTGAGTCTAGGCGCATAAAAGGAATGCAAGAAGCAAGAAGCAAGAATGTCAAGAATGGAATCTTCTAGCCACTCCGCGCCTGTTAGCCACAACTAATGAATCTTGTACCGAAGACGACACGTTTATAGATCTTAAGCAATATTATATAACGCACTATTATCAGTCGGTGGCGATCTCGTCAAAGACGAAGATCGTACCATCGTGACAGATCACACTTGTGTCTGCAACTTTCCTGTTGGACTCGGCTTGGCCCTCAAGCATCAAAGATTTGCTTGCTAAGACCGCAGACTCTGGAGGGCTTTCATGCGCGGGTGTGTTCGTGCAAGAACACCGATTCCAGATCAAATATGCTGTTCATGGTCTCAAAACTATCGTCGCAACCCTGCGAGACATGTTGATGAAGGATCCGGAGCTGCTCGAACTTGGCTCTATTGATATCAACCTCTGATTGTGCCTCATCTAGGTGGTATGATACCAAAGTTGGATTCCAGGATAGCCACTGAAGTTTAACGATATCTCGTTCGAAACCCTTGTCTCTCAGTGACAACTCCGTTCCACGAACTGTGCTGATTATCTGCGCGTATCTGGCTGCAAGTTCGCCTTCACCCTTCAACATTGCGTTCGAGATGTAGTACCCGACGATTGAAAGGTCTTCAAAGTTCGAGACGAAGAAGTCATCAAGAGCAGCATGAGGCTTCTGGATATCGTGCAATCCGGAACTTAGAATCTGACATAGGGGGTAGTTGGAAAGGTCAGCGAGATCGCGGTAAGCTTTCAAAGCGCGCTGTCTGGCCTCCTCCGCTGCCGTAAACAGCGAGAGAAGTCGGTCGTTTGGCGATTTTGCCTCGGGCATTTGCGGTCTGAACCGAGTAAGTCTTCGAGGAGAACATCTATGCAGTGGCTCGCAAAGCACGTTAAGAGCGTTATCGCTTGTACCTGTGCACAGCTGTAGGTGCCTGATGTCATCCAGATGTTTTCGAGTCCATAGTTTATTTCCTCCTCAATGCTGCGAGAGTGGGAAATTACGGTGCACGGACAAGAAACCAGAGGGCTCTCGTACCCAATCAGAGTTGCCAGTCTGATAGAGCTGCTTATCGGAAGACGTTCTCATAATCGACGCGAACAACTTGTGTGATGTTTTTATTTCTGATCGAGTACACGCATTGAATCAAGCAAGTCACGTGTATGGCTACCAGTTGATGGGTCCTGTGAGAATGTCACTCGCTCATTACATTTCGAGACTTCTAGTATGGTAATCAGGCTAGCTAACGTCACATGCAAAGAGAGTACGAAGTTGCGTCTGTGTCAATGCAAAGGTCATGAATCTCGAGCCTGTATCAGAGCCCGAACTTTGCTCTGCACTCTATCAGACCTGTCGCGTTCTGAATAGCTCGAGATGGCGTCCAATTGACTTGCCTCTATTCCAACCTCATTTGCAGTCACCTCGAAGCCTACTCACGTGATCTGGGCCGTTCCAAGCTGTGTGTGTCGAGAATATGATGATAGAGGACGTTAACATCATCAGCGACTTGAAAGATGAAGCCGATCTAGGTGTCTTGACCTACCTTGCTAACCAGCGTACACGTGTTGGACTTACGGCAATTTGTGATACCGTTCGATGAGGTTCGGAACAAAGTCTCATTCTCCCTCACGCTCAGAGCAGAACACACGCTAAGAGGCTCACCTGTTCCATCCCAGCACGAACAGAAGAGGTACTGCCTTATGCTCTTTAATCTTTTATTTCCAACGTATCCCCAATCTCTAACTCTTATCATACTACCACGGTACTAGTGGATGATCCTCAATGGCGATGCATAGTGGGGTACATGTCCAGGATGCGGTTCCCGAACTCCGCCATGACTCTATAGCAGTAAGGACGATAAAGATAGAATCGTCGAAAGTTCTTCGCAATCCGAGTCCTCACAAGAGTAGCCACGAACGGAAACTGAGAATTGAGCGTCCTTGTTCAGATATTGGTCCTCAGCTAGACGAGATCCATTTGCTCATGCATGAGGCTCCAGACACCGACTTTTTTCGCCAAGCAGATGGTTTGAAGCTTCCTAGGAGTCTTATCAGCATGATGGACAGTATCGAAGCTCTTGTGGAAAGTCAGACGCTTGATGGTCAAGAACAATCCAGGCATGCTTAGCTCTAGCATGTACATAGGTCTTCCTCGGAAGACTGCATATCCGCACAGCTTGGATCATCAAATCACTTGACCCATTCAACCAGCTACGATCTTAAGACTTGAGATAGATCAATTCTAATGACCTAGATGAGACCGATATTCAGATAGATGCAAGAATTGGACTAATCATCGCAAACAATCATATCGACGAAGACGTGACATGTTTCTCACACTCATTTGTACCTGATCCTGCGATGGAGCACAATAAGTATATTGAGTATCTACTGCCTTTGGATGGTTATCAAACTTAGCCAGTAACCTCCGACCAGACTCTAAGACACAAGCCTAAGTATCGGGCTTCTAGTCAGAACACCAGAATACCTTAGCTTATATCGAACAAGTTCAGGTCTCGATACGCGAGGGCATATAAAACCGATGCCATCACTAATGAAGTTGAGTGTTCTCATGTTCCTCTACAAGCAGATGTGGGCCGAGACGCCTGGATCATCTGGCTTCTCTTTTGAAAGTAAATTTGTACGCAACAATATTTCCGAATGTTCGTCGCTACAGCTTCAGATGGAACGGCCTTATGTAAAGAACTCCCTTCTGGTTTGAGATCGAAAGCTCGACTGATCGAGAGGGGCTCCGATGCCATGTTTCTCTATAGGACGAAGTATTCATTTTGAATTCGAGACTGATTGAAAGAGGGATGTCTAGCAAGACGAGACTGAGTCAGCGGCAGCCCTAACTATGATCTAGGAAATGGGCTCTCTGCATATCCGATACCGCCTGCCATCGATCCATATATGATTGAGAAAGCACGCTCATGATCGATGGCTTTTGATCTAGTTATAAGACGCGAGACATCCTCTTGATGTCCAACCATGTCCGGATTTTCTGAGCATTCGATTGCTAGTCGGCAGGCATGTCTACGCACATCAGACCCCCAACTCATGCCGCACACCCTGATCGTGTGGATAGACATCTGTTCCTCGTCGGACTACAACGCTAGTCCGTAAGGGAGAAAAGCTCGGGCTCCATGGTCCGGGCGAGGGGGAAAGAGTGGCGGGAGAAAGTTCTTGCTGCCTGTGGTGAAGCCAGATACAGAACCAAAGAAAGAGTATCAGTGTGAGAATCGCAAATATGCCGACAGTCACTGTTGCTGCTACAGATAACCCTAGGACATCGGGAGATCTGGAGAGCATCTAGGGCTTAGCATTATCTGCGGTAATGGTAGCGGACTGAAAATTGCAGATCGTGCGAGATCGGGAACACTTCAAGAAGCAGTTGTAGCTTCCAAAAGATCTCGCTCTGGTTCCTTACAAGAGCTGCAGTGGAGCTTGCAGCATATATATGATAAGCCAGATCAAAGATCCGGATCTCAGTATGATCATCGAAATGATACTTATGAGATCAGCCTAACCATCGGGAGTGCTTCTAGCTCGTGTGGTCACTCCTTTGGTGATCTGAGTTGCTTGAGAATAGATGATTGGCATGAGGAAGCAGCTCACGTCTTATGGCTGTCCCATTTCTTGGGACTACCTATCATCAAACCTCTGTAATCACTTTCGCAATTGCCCTCATGCTGTCTTAATGGAGATATCACATGTGGCTGAGGCGAGTCTGCTTACATACTCTTGAACTAAAATTCTCTCTCTGATTCATCCAAAATGTTGGCGCAGGAGCACAGCGAGACAGCGCTTGATGTCATGGAACATCGCCCTTGGATCCCAGTCATCACAAAGCTTTAGTACAAAGCGTTATCCTCGATGGACGAAACATGTCTCGAATATCCTTGATCTGGACAATTTCGGAGTGGGCACTAGCAGAACTTCATTTTGCACTCCCACTAACACGGTGTGCACATACCTAGGTAGACATAGAGCTACGTATCTCTTTGGAACATTTATGAGTAACCACTTTCCGTCTGCTTCCTAAGAAAGTCACCAGCTTCTACCTTATATGGATTGTGCTCCCTACCTTCGGGCGCTTGATCTTTAGGAGGTCATCAATGTGCTTTGTTCATCTGCAGGAAATCTCTTATAAGGAAACAGCAGTTGCATTCGGTATTTACGCTGAGCTATCCCACTACGATCGAAATGTTCTTATCATGGCAGCGCTGGGTTCTCTGCTATTGAGAGCAATCGCTCATCTTGTTGTATCTTGACAAACCTTGGTTTCGAGACTGGGTCTCAGCACCCTTTTAGGTTCTAAGCCAATGAATAACGAGTTTTTCTAGACCTTTTGATGATCATCGTCGCTATCTATCTCAGCGCCTTATATCCCCGTCCGAAGTTGCTGCAGGTTTGCCACTCGGCTGCCCAATCGGCTGAATAACACGATCCTGGAGACACATGCTTGTCGTCAGGTAAGCACGACATCTAGAACAAGCTTTTGCATATATATCCTAGACATCTTAGCAGATGCATCGGGCGATTAAATGAACCTTGGATAATCCGTACTCACCTTCTGACACCCTATTTCTCGCATTATCATCTCTATGTCTCGGGCCACCTCGATCAGCTTCTGAGAGAAGTTTATCAACTCTTCTCCGTGCCCTATTATACGCTCCTCTGTATAAGGATGTGCGAGTCGAGCAGTGAAGGGCCATTCTCCCGAGCACTTGTCAGACTCAACTCTCAACTTCATATAGCTATCCAAAGCCAACAAAAGAGGCTTGACTAACCTTATGAAGCCTGGATTGAGGTAGAATCTATCTTCGTCCTCGGATGATGATTGCAGTGACCTTTTTACTTTTCCCATCTCGGCTTCGAGAAGTTTTTGTTGTCGTCTGATCGGCTCGATTCTTTTGTTCGTCTCTAAGGCGAGTAAGCAGAGTTGGTCGATGCACCGCTGACTCTGGGAAAGCATGTCTTGAATTTTTCTACCTTTACTGATTCTGGCTCCTTTCCAGATCGCGGATAACACTTGGTTCCACGTTACGGAAGCGGACGTTCGGAGCTTTTAAGCAGAGTGAGACTTTCTATCTGTTCTTTCTGACGATGTTTCTTTTCCAGATCGATAGCCTTCTAGAATCTTAATAAACTCTCCAATGCGTTCAACATTGGTGGTCAAAGTTTGGTTGTGAAATCTAACACCAGCAGTAATCCTGCTCATGTTTGTCGCTACATTTCGCGTTTGACTGTATTCCTGAGACACTGCTCTGTCAGTCTCCCGCTGTTCCAATTCAAGGTCGGTCCATTGCGCTGCTGGACCGATCAGAATCGGGTGAGGCTGGTTAAAGTCCATCAACTAGGATGTGTATCGTAAAGAACGATCTCGTTCTAGCCCTGGACCCGTACGTTCCAACTACAGGTCTGAATCTGGGGCATTCTCTGCATCTCACAGATATCGAAGTGTTTCTTGTGCAGGCTTTCAACATGCCTTAAGCATTATGCGCGACTGGGTATCATCTGGAGACAACGACTCGTTGTGGTCGTCATCAAATTTGCTAGGCCGCAAAGAATCTTAGAAATCCTCTTTGCTGGCTTGTTATGTGCTAAGAAGCTTCAAAACCTTTACAGGATGCATCTTCATGCGTTAGCTATTCAGCTGCCAGGTGACCACACAAAGCTTGAGAATAGTTCCCATGCTTCGAAACCTTTGTTACAAATTTCTCGCCCGGTCCTCATGTGATCACGTTGATGATGAGTAGTTCGTTTCTAACCTGTTTTTGTGTATTTTTGCACCGTCATGCCAATCTGACAACAGGTCTCACTTCACGAAGGATCTATGATCTGCGCAATGACAGAGATCATCCGGTATCTCTGAGTACCTCTGGTGAGAATTGCTTGCCAAATTTGTCTGACCACATCCTCGCCAGGTCGCGAGGACGATTTGATCACGAAGCCAATCTTTCATGCCGTAAAGATCATGGTAACGCTGTGGAAGTATATAGAAACCCTTTGAAACATCATTGGCTATACTATGTGTGATCGTGGTCACTCCTGCCTCACAGTTTGTCATCACTGGATCGGCTCGCGTAGTTTCGTCTTAAACTTAGGAGTGCTCGTTCACGGGAGGCTTACACATTCCTTACGTGGTCAAAAGCATATATCAACTACTTGCTCCGTCACCATATTGCCTCAGAGACGACGCACGCTCAACATGAGGAACGACCAGATGAATTATTTGTAGATCGCTTTGCTTAGTCTTGCCGGATCCGCCGTCTCCGAGAAGGCCAAATGCGGGGACGGAGTCGAATTAAACATGCAACAAGGCGATCAATCGACCTTCAGTATCCCACTTAACGAGACCTGTTCGGCTGCTCTCATCACTTTCAGCGACGGCACAGATTTGACGTTAGATCTCCAGACTAACTCTTCGTGCCCTTACGCAAGCTCAGAGGCTCAGACGTTCACCACTATCATCGGCTCAGATACTCCCGAAGGTATCGCTACGCTCACTTTCCAATGTAGCGAACAAGTCTACTGCATGTCAATCGATGTTGTGACAGCAAACAACTCGAACTCGAAGACTTCCATACACAGCGTTTGTGCAGATGTGACAAACCCGGCTCGCGAGTCCGGTGTAGCTGCTAGGGCAACTCAGGTTTCGGGGGTCAGCGACGGACAGATGCACGCGGGAAGCATGAAGACTTCCGCTACGACACCCTTAAGCCCGACACAGGCTTCGCAAAGCAATTGGACTATCACCACGGCTCTGGATAGTGCTTTGACCGGTTTCAGCACGATAGCTGGGGCGAGTGTACTTGGGTATACCACAAATGCTACGAGTCTTAGTAGCCCCGATGGCGGTCAATCTCCTTCCTCTGATGTTTCCGCTATATCTACTGGAACCGACTCTACCGCGACCACCATGGCCGCAGCTTTTTCATCAGACACTTCGTACTCATCGACCTCGCAGACAGTCACGGCGTCGCCAGGTGGGTCTGATGATACGAATCCTACTCTTACCACGGTAGCAATGCTCCCAACTGCTACAAGTTCACTGGACGCCAACGGGACCACTTCCATCGAGACAGCGAGCCAGTTGCCAGGGGAGAATCGACCTACTGGAGCAAAACCTATAGAGAAACTAACAGCGCCGCCTGTTGCGGCGCAGTTTCTTGGTAACGGCACTTCCGCGAATCTTCCTACCGAAGTAGATGGTCAGGACCCTTCGACGTGCGCTTGCTACCCGCTTCCCACTTTCTAATGGTCTACACATTAGATTTCTAACCTTGTGATTAACTCAGCGTAGCATCCAGATGGTGACGGTCAAAAGTCGGAGTCATGTATCGATAGAACTGCGAAGCTGCCGTTTCCTTGTACCGTAACAAATGATGTCTAGGCGAAGAGCTTCTCAGCGGATGTTAGGATCTTGTAGCTAAGTCTGAATTTTATTGCCCTTGCCACCTCGGGATCCAGTTCCACCCCGTTCTTGTCGGTTCACTCCCGATATCCTCATTCATCGAGTAGATGCGCTTCTTACTAGCGTGATCGGAGGCTACTTCCGATGGTGAGGCTAAAACTCTCAATATACTGCTCGCTTTCATAACAATGTACTTCTGGGGTATGATTCATGGCTGCAGGTATTTCTTGTATTCCTACGATCCCAAATCCTAGATCCACAGACATCGCCACTTTGCTACTAATGGAAGTTGTTGCTCTGTCAAGCGTCTTAACGCTTGATTTAATGATGTGACATGTTAGACCCCATAGTCGACCCCTTATCCATTAACGACTAACAGTAATAAGATGGAGCAATTCGAGAAGAAGCTGGGAATAGACACAAGCTTAAATTTACATCGTTCCATCGAGTTGTTTTGGTAGTGATTCATCGTGAGCGATACAGAGAGCTGTAGCACAACTGTCGGTTTACGACGCGTCCGAAGTAGTTGCATTCTGTCTATATAGTTGGGCTCACACCTGCAGAATGGATTTTTCTGCTACAAGCTTTTCGATCTCTAAGGAGTGCACCATTTCACATCAAACACATGCAACTTCGAACTCCACGGTCTTCAGAATTCGTCCAGAGTCGTTGAATTTGTCTTCATCCTTCGCAGTTGCCGGGAATCCACACCGTAATTCGAATTGCTCGAAAGCATGTAGGGGCGCAACGAGATCTTCCAGACTCTCCGAGTTGACTCGGCTGGGCGAGATGACCTTTTTGACTTTTGGTTTCATCCAAACCATCGCGCTCGACATATACCCAGACGGGGACTGGATAAGAAAAGACAAGGTACTACCGATCCAGTCCAGCGTGATGAGATATATCTGGACCTGACTGCAGATAACTATCGGCAGAGAGGTAACTGGATAGCTGCTATCTTTCGCACAACTCTAGACATAGCATAACCTAGTGATTGTGGAAGTAACAATACTATCGCCATTCTGCGTCAGAATTCATACACGCACAATTATGGGTACAACCTACAGTCCCTTAAAGCCGCAAGCCTGTAAGCAAGTAATCTTCCGATGCCATGGATTCATCTTTAGTCTAAGCACGATGCGAAGGAAGAGAGAAACGGTCATAACCTCGCCCATAATGTCGAAAAAGCAGAATGCGGTCCAAAATATAGGCTAGAAATCTCGTTAGTCTAGTCCAGCATAGGGAAAATATTCATATGTGCCCTATCATACCTGGTGGATACACATTTAAGAATGCAGATTCCATAGCGGATGACTGCATTGGAAGATTGCTCTAGTTACGAATGAAATCGCGCCGAAAAGAGTTAGTACGAAGCAGATTCTTAAGCTTAGTGCTCTCTTCTATAAAGGGCCGATCTGTAGTAGAACCAGACAATACCGGAACTTCGAGACAAAGGTGGCAACTACGAAAACCAACTGGCCCAGGTATTTAGTCTAGAATTGGGTCAATAAGATAGATAGAGCATGAAAGGAGTCGCTTTACCATTTAAAACACTCTCCGCTACGCATTTAAAGAGAAAGAAGTTGCATAACCAAGACCTGACCGAGCCTAGAGTACGGAACATATCGTTCCCGCGATGATGAGGACCTTCATAGCCGTAAGTTTATCCATCTTCGACTGCTCTCTTACAATATTCTTACAATCATGAAGACTAAGCCTGCGATATCTTTCTGGACCGGTCCTTCCAGTCTATTTTTCCTTTTCTAGCATGTAACAACACCAGCTAGCAGCACCATTAAGAGGCCGCAAACTAGCGTCGCGATACTAAAAGATGATCCTAGACTTAGGACCTCATAATTGTCGTGCGACATTGCCGAGTCTTAACTCTCGGGCTAATGGTAAGGGAGAAGTTATTAGATTAGGATACGACGATGAGGAACGATTGTTAATAAACTCTCTTAATCGTATACATAAAGAGGTATAGCATGGTTACATTTCTTTTCTCGCTTCTCGTTGTCCTATGTCCGTGGTTAGCTAGCCATTAGAGTGATATAGGGCTTGTAGGACATTATATTAACAGCGCATAATTCGTCTTAGAGGCTTGGCATGGTGATCTTAGATCTTCCTCGTGGCTTCGAACCGGTAGGCGCTCTAGCAAAAGCTCGAGGAGTTAGCCCGGGGCCGCTAATTGCAAGCGTATAGATTTGTACGTCTAAGTGTTAGATAACATCTACATATTGGACCCCGGTTTTCTTTTGGGGCTAACGTTCGTGCCACCAGTGGCACATCATAGCCTTCACATCATATTATAGAGTCACCATCGATACCTAGCTCACTTATGGCTGTTTGTCTTAGGCGTTTTTTTCCTACTAACTCGAGCTGATCACTCTAGTCTCCGGCTTATGATCATTGTCTACTATCACATTTCCTTAAGTGGGGATGCCGATGACTCGCACTTCTTATGGCCTGCTTAGACCCTAGTCTAGTTAATAAAACATGCACTTGATTGTAGAACCGCGCTAGTGTAGTCCCCTAGCAGGTGCTTCTACTAATTGACTGGAATAACGTTCATTAGTATACGGCGTATGTCTGTTAGTTACCGAATCTTAACGACCGTAACAAATATAACTTAGCAGGTTAACAAGCAATCTCACCGTCATTGCCCTCTATATCACGTATATCTGGAATGTCCGGCTAGCTACACCTATAATTCGGAGTTTCGTTCGGATGATGGTAACTTAGTAAGAAGTCTTAATGACTAATCTTATAGGGATGTATTTTTCCCTCGCGCATTAACTACCGCTAATCGACATTACCCCACTACCGCATTAAAGATTGTAAACATCCCCTAATGAGCCAGTCCGCCTTCATCTTGCTATAAAGGTGTAATGCCACTAAGCCACATGCGATAATAATTAATACTAGTGTAATTCCATCCTAGCTCTTTAAAGATACTAATAGCATATGGATTTCCGCCCTATACTTCTACCGCTACGTAAACATCGGAACACGGCATTCCATTCGATTCTACATAGGTAGAAGCCTAGACCGTTGCAGCCTATATCGCTACTCTAATTAGCGTACGTAAGGCCGCTACGTCTGCTACGTAGACAGGGCCTAGACGATAACCTTTAGAGGCTCGACGAACAGCTACCCACCTATAAACACTTTCCTTATCGAATGCTTTTCCCTTCTTAGTAAGTGCTAGTCCGAAGAAGTCGGCACGGTTCTAGATCCCGATTCCCTAAAGATCGCCTCTCTCGAATCTAGTGTGGTTATAGTCGCTCTACGAAAGGATCTCGTAGGGAATCTCTCTTAGATTTACTAAGTAAAGTTTTAATAAGTCGGAATCTAGGGCCGGGATTATGACGAGGCTAGAAGAGGGAGACAACTTGTAAGACATGTATCGAATTGTACCTAGTGGAGACGCGACAAATCCTCGCCACTTATAAGATGATTTCTATTTAGCGACACTGTCTAGTCCCACGTAAGCGGTACCGTGTATTCTAAATTGATCCATAGCAGCGTCGAGTAAGGACCTCCTAAAGAATCTTCTACGATACTATAACTTTATAACTACAGTATATGTTTCATTAGGGTAATCGCCTCGTCTGCGGATGTTAATGCTCTCCTACCGAAGAGACCGACCCATCCGGTCTTGTTTTTATAGATGGCGGCTAGGACATGCCTAATAGGTATACTATCGAGGTCCCCTAGTAGTATAGCATCCGTTCGTAAAGCCTTAAGGTAAGTTGCTAGGTCGTCGGACTAACGGTTCTAGTACATAGGCTTAGCCTTAGTTCGGAGTGATCGAAAGTCGAGAAGAACCTACCTATTTAAGGTCTCTTATAGATTCCCACCATAGTTTAAAAGCTTTACTATGCGATCTCTCTAATCTAATTAAATATCGCTACATGCCCATCTCCAAAAAGTAAGGCATATGTTAACGGATATCTATTAGAGGAATCTCGCTTCTTTTCTGTTCCCCCGTCGGCAAAAGACCGGAGTTTACTAGCCGCTTGTTATGCACACGTATTGCTTTTCTACTAGAGCTAAGAATTTCTCCGCTATACGTTCCTATACACTAGGTAAGCTAGCTTAATCCGAAACAAGAACACGACTTCTATCGTTACTATATTAATGGAGCTACGATCACTTACAAATCTCATTTTCTCTATTTAAAGCTCGCTAATCCTTATCTTATAGAGGTGCTAGTAATTAAAAGCAAAAAAGAAGTAAGAAAAAATAGGAACAGCTCTACACCAGCTCGGCGAGCGCTTAAAGAGAAATAGTAAAGCATAAAGGATAAAGATAAAACGACTATCATAAGTCATTCTAAATACCTAATGATCCGATAGCAACACGATTTAGGAGAGCTAATCTACCGGGCTCTCTAATCTACTAGCGCGGTAATGCCTTAGATAGATAACTCCGGCTACTGGCTATGTCGATTAGTTAGGCCTTAACACTAGCTCGACTCGACCATTGCTTATGCAGTAGCCTTTTAGAGTTTTGCTAAGGTCTCGAAATATCTACGTTAACGGATATAAAGTAGACAGCCTAAGACAAAAGTTCCTCCCTAGAGCAGCACCGCCTAATTCATCGTCTATAGGGTAATAGAAGACGAACTCGGCTAGAACGAAAAGATAAAGACGATAGTCGTCCAGATTATGGCTATAATGTTAATCGCTAATCTAAAGCGGCCCATATGCCACCGGCCCACTTGCAACTCTTGCTTCGTCCACCTCTTCTAAGCAAGTAGCGCAATGGGGAGCAGATACGATGCTAGATAAGTAGCAACCATAAGTGAAATTATAGCGTTAAAAGCAGTAGCGGAGCTAACGTTAATGAGACCTAGGAGTAGTGTAATAACGAAGGAGAGTGCGATGGACCAGATTAGAAGCTTGGTTCTATCATCTATCTTTAAGTTAGTTAGCAATTATGTACTATGTCGGATTCGATCGTAGGACGCTTACCTCCTTAAGATATAAAGAACTAGGGAGCCCATCGTCGCGAGCGAATGCCTAGGTCACCCTTAACGCTATAGCAGTAACAGCAACGACTGCCGACATAAGCAATACCAAAAGTAGAGATGTAAGACCTGTGGTGAAGGCAGTCGAATTAGGTAGTGCCTACTAGAAGATCTAGATGAATGGAAATCCGGTTGGTAAGGTTAAGGCATCCTACACGTCACTAATACAAAACAGCATTATTAACATCATCCCGATACCGAGGAAGCCATTAATACATATACTGACTACTAAGCTCCTCGGTACTTCGACTTCTAGATCTTCGACCTCTTTGCACATGTGGATTACACCGTCGGCACCTGTATAGACATTAGGCATACCATCTAACTTATGTGTGAATTTCGAATTAAAGCTTACCGAGGAATGCAAAAACACTCGTCATAAGCCCGACAAAAACCGAAGTGCCGGGTAAGTAGCCTCCTAAAGTGAATAGAGTGGTAAATACTTCACTTACGGTATTATGTTTAGCGAAATAAGAGACCGGGACCGCGATTACAATAAATCCAATGATGTGGATTAACAGAATCATCCATTCGATGTAAGGTAGGAAGCGTATAAGCACAGTGTTAAATGCTAAAGCAAATAGCATGATGGCGTAAAGTACTAAAGTGACTTGCTAGCCCTTCGGAATATAGCTCGGGATGTTAAGGTTGACTAAGCCTAGCAAAACTTCGCTAGCGAGATAAACAGCACTCGCAATATCCGCTTGCCAAGCCAGGAACTGTTGCTAGCCTGTCTCGCACAATTAATTTGCTCGTCTCGAAAGTTAAAAGCACTCCGGAAGCTAACTTACCTATAATCCAGCTTAGAAATTTCCCGTATCGTGGTGGTGTAAGAGCTCCCACCCAATAGTACTGCCCTGCTGCATTTGGCATCCTACACATTCAGCACTCAGATACGTCACTATTCGTGTTGCACTCACATGGAAACCAGCTCTGCGAGAGACAAAACGACCGCAAGATATCCGATAAAGCAGAAGATGAATCCGTAGAGGAGCCCGGCGGGACCGCCGTTCTCTAAGCCATACGTGAACACGCTGCGACAGATGGACTGTTAACGTTGTAGTCTTTAGTAAACCACGGAATATGCGTACAACAGCAGGCCCTCCCACGTTATCATGATTGTGCATGAAAAGCCTATCATCTGCCATCCATGGAATCTTTTCTAAAACATTTGGTCAGGATGTGAATCGCGGAACAGAACCTTTAGGCGACATACCTCCATCTTAGGTTGCACGGTTCGGGGTTCCCCATTATACTTAGACTCCGAAGCCTCGACACAGATTCTCTTCCTCTCAGTAAGCTCGATAGAATTCATCCCGACTAGTGGCAGAACAGAAGGCTAGACAGAAGGTCTAACGGCGAGTGTGACGAGAGGGTAATGCGTCCAACTTATAGTGCTATCCATCTTCGACTATGGGAGTTAGAATAGTAGAGTGATTTACGGGCTTCTAATCTTCCGCTTCTAGCGGGTGCTCTACCGACAGCATGGCTCTGCCGTCCCGTAAGTCTAGGTATCTAGTATGGCTATTAAGGTCTGTACGTGCGAAGAACGGCATAAATATTGACCTAGCATTAAGCGGGGCTATGGGATTTGGGGGCCTAGTTCTTCCGGTACGACTTCCCTAGATTGATGTGGGGCTTAGTATTAATTATAACTAACTATCTGTTCGGTTCCTTAACTCGATCTACAGGCTTGCTTTAGGACATGAAACTAGCGTTTAAGGTCCATACTATCTTACAAACATAATATATTCCTACTAATTTTTAAATTTAGTCGTCGTGTATTGTAGTGTTTTCGCGATGACTAAATTACCTTCGATACGGCGGAGTTAGTAATCTAATATGAATCTTCGTAATGCAGAACTGCTTAAATTGATTGTGTTAGCGACAAACGCCAGCTATATTTAGTACGAATACGGGCTTCCGCATGCCGATATATTCACCTTTAAGTTATGGAGTTTGTTTAGTTTGCTAGGGCGTAAGAGTACCTAACGTTAGTTAAACGAACCAAACACTACTTACGTAGAAACATACGGGTTAATGATTTTCGGCTTAACTATTAATGGCGATCCCTTAGAGACCATTAATAGGTTTGCGAAAGAATTTATAACATAAGGATAGTCTTAATATAGCCCTAGAGCACGGCCTACTCCATGCCGTCTAGAACGATTGTAGATGGGGCTTTTTCTATAACCCGCTACTAGTTTCCCCTATGGTCGACGATGATAGATCGAGTGTATAGCTAATCCTTTGCTCTAAGGCGCTCTTGCACTTCGTTAAGGAATCCATCCTTAACTAGTTCTCCCGGCGTGCATTCTAAAGAACATATTGGACAACGCTAGTCGTTTAGTGGCAGACGATCTATGTCGAATGGCTTAGATCGAGTTTCGAGGAACACTTTAAGATCGAAGGCATTATGGTATAAACAGTTTACCTCGCGAATAGGTATATCGAAGATCCGAGATTATGAAAACGGCTCGTAGAGATTAATCTTAATCACCGGTAAGATCCTAATGACATTAGTAGCAGCGCTACAATTTAGTACTAGGGAGGTGGTCATAGAAGCTAGGATTTTGTCCTTTAAGATTGTCTTACATCTTTTAACAATCTCTTACCTACTCTAGATAATCTAACGTTTAATGGCGATAGCGAAGCGCGAGATTCTACCCTAACTAGCGCGGATTATCTCGATCTTAACCTCGAGTCCATGGTATATCTCGAGCTAAGACGTGATATCTCTAATAAGCGATCCATTCTCGGGTTTAATTAGAAATTTGTTAATCTTTATATAAAACCCGCTAGGCAGATTTCTACCTAAAAAGGCTACTACTGTTTCTAAATTAGGTCTATAGACGAGCTTTAGTAAGGTCCTTAATTCTGTTAAGCGTAGACGGGATTAAAGATCTAGTATGTTATACAATTAATCTCTATAGAGAGTCTTAAGTTATGCTATTAGTATGACAATGGTCGGCGATAAGCCCCTAATGCCTATCGGTATAATGTCATAGTATTCGACTCCATCTACTAGATGTATATAGTTAGGGAGATTAATATAGAAGATCTGGCCGAGAGAACACGAGGCTTCTCTAGTAATCTCGAGGACGTCTAGACTCCTAAGACAGACCTTAATCTGTGATTTAAGCTTGTTAACCTAAGTAAAGTCGATTATGTTTAAATCGTTATAAATCTTTACGAGGAAGAGAGATAAGAACGATCGTGTCCGATCGCTTAGCGCTAGAATTTAAAGGAGGTTACGAACTAGATCTAAGCTATACGCCACCTTATATAGGTTAAACGAGGAGGAAACCATAGTAGGTGGAATCACTGCATAGTAGATCTAGGTTTTCGATACCTTATTAATACTCGTCTATGTTTAAACAAAACGTAACGACGGTTTCTTACTAAGATTATAGCGAATAAGTCTCTAGTCGATAGTGCCCCTCGTACTAGATCTAGCGCTACTATGTTAGTTTCCTATAGGGTGTTAAATCTTCTATCGTATCGGAATCTATCGTTAAGCTCTAAGATATAAGTAGTAGGGGAGAAAGAAGACATGTTATAAAGATAAGACAGCTTATCTCTTAAGAAATGAGAATTGTTATTAGATATAGTACCGGTTTCTAATCTAATTTGTATAAGTGACGCATAGGCACTAGCGTAGTTCCTCGTCTTTTTCCTTTGTTCTAAGACATAGACGATGATCGCTATAGTTACGATCTAAGTTTCCGTCCTATGACCTGTCTTATAATTTTTACGGTCGTTACATTTCTGCCTTCTAGATAAGATTCTAAATGCTTATGCAGTTAAGATCACCTCGTAGAAAGCACGGTATGTCATAAGAAAGCTGTTAGCTAAGATTAACAGTTATCGAATCATTATAGCCATCTTATAATGTAGGTTTCTAAGCATAAAGGATATCGCGAGGCGACATTTAAATAAAATGATAGCGAGCCACTATTTTTTTTTCTGTATAGATGAGCTTTATACTAAAAGATGAGACATCGGATTACGAATGATACCGTTTTATTATTAAATAGTCAAATGTTTACATTGTTTGCCTAAGCATGTGGAACTTATAAGATTAAGCAAATAGTGCAAACTAAGAATTTACCATAGAGCTTATAGCGTGTTTACCTGCTCGAAATAGAACTCGGACAGAGTTGCTTCGAAAGCATTCTACGTGTAACTTCGAGCTTAAGAGTCTTCCTATACGATGCCCTGCTTTGCTAGGGCTATTCGACCTTTACACCTGCTAATGACCCGTCTAGTCTGCTTAGACAGCATAAAGTCGTGACTAGAACACGGCTAATAGGTGCCGGAGAAAACAGGTTAATAATCGCGTGCTAGGGTTTATTACTCTATGATAAAGCAGCTATAGCAGTCTAAAGAAAGTTCGGTACCTATTCACCGGGTCATCTTAGCGGAGCACGGGATTATTAATCCCGAACGATAGACCCTATAAGCCACAATCGCAAGCTAAAGCTCCGGGTTCTTTTCCCTATACTATGTGCTATCTCGCTACTATTACGGTGCTATGTTATCCTTAACATCGAATGCTAGCATTTTCAAAAGTCACGCTAGATTAATAAAGCCGACATCCTTTAGCTTTATTATTTAGGCTTTAGAAAATATAGGTGTTATAATTTCCACGAATAAAGTTCTAGACCCTCCTAACGCTATAGCCTCTATAGCTCGGATAGAGCTCGAAGAGACTCGAGCTCTATTCGCTAGTCACACCATGCCGAGAATCATACATCGACAAAAAACTATACGATGCGAGCTAACTAAGGAACGGATAAACTAATGCTATAAATTAAAAGTTCTTAACAGTCCGTGTTCTTAACATTTACACCTTAGATAAGGTTCGCTACCGAGAGTGGACCATATATAGACATAAGAATTTTAAACATGCATACTTTACATGCTTACCACTTAAGCTGTTAGTTAACATGCAGATTTGATTTCTATTGCATATAAACCGCGTCCCTACTGCTTAACTAGCGTCTTTTCCTAGATCGTTTCGTGACTCGACGTATGCATATATGTCACTTACGCTATTAACGACCATTAATTAGATTCTTCCCTTAGTAGCAATGATATATCGTGATTAAGATCGCTATTTAGGATAGAGGCGAGGGCCTCTTTTAGACCTAGAGTTGTGATTCGCCGCACATACTAAACTCTAATCATTCGACGGTAAACGCTACGCTTTTTCCTATTAAACATCTAATTTATTTCGTCGTGCCATAGAGTGGAGGAGTTTTGACAGTATGACAGGCTAAAAACTAGGCTAACTAACACTAGTGATTAGAGCTGCGCTATTAATACAAGGTCTAAAGAGTCTGTAACTACTGCTTAGTAGACTTGTAGCCTATCGTATTTGTTACGGACGCCATTACAACTTATGAACTAATGACTGTGCCTAATTCGAACAGAGCTTCGATTTGCGACCTACCCCATCGCTCTTATACCTGTTTAGAGCTTAACGCGGAGAAGACTATGGCTCGTCGGAGTGTAGCAGCCTTTAATGAAGATACTCACCCTTAGAAGTAGGACTAGTCTTTAACGGCAATATTCGTTTCGACGTATATAGCGACTACTAGTGACAATTTAGAATGCACCTAGCTATCTCCTAAAGTGAGTCCATGTTGTGGCCATTAACACCTAGCGGAAGAACTTTTGTTAGCCAGGACATAAGATAGACCGCTTAATGCCCTCGACAGACCTACCTTATTCTAGCGTCCACTACGGACGACGTTAAACAGTCACGACGGGGGGATCTTTATGACTTTAGTACTGTAACGACCACCGTCATTATGAGATGTTATGTATCTTAACACTAATGAAGCTAATGACACGTAGCAGTCTCTTTAGCCGCATCACGAGCGGATCGTGCTACGTACGCGATCCGTAGCGAGCGATTCCATTTGTAGCTCGACGGTAGGTTCACCATTTAGCGGCTAGAGAGCGGTCGGGGCGCTATAGTAAACCTAACCACCATTAAACTCGTCACTATTGTCGAGGCTAACGCTAGGAACTGTTAATTTAAGCGACGAGTCGGTGGTAAAAGACAGAGTTCTTTGCCTCTTTGTCGTTACTCCTTAGTATGTAATATCGTAGCCTTCTTGCCGTAAAACTACGCTATCGACACCACGTTTAAGCTCTACATTATGGTCGGCCTAGGCTGTTTCGCTCGTGTTACCATTCTTCGGAGCGGATTAG